ATGTGTATAAGAGACAGTATATACAGTATATATATATATATATATATATATATATCTGGAGTGATAGTACACATATCCTAAAGCCTGATCTAAAAATGGTCTGTATAATTGTCATGTAAAGGATGTGTTTCATCTCTTATTATTTTTGTTAATTTGAAGTAAGATAGATCCATATTCTTTTCCTACAATTATCCTATTCAGTTCAGCACCACCTCCAACAGACGTGGCTTTCAATATTTTAATTTAATTTTGACATCTCTAATATGCCTCACACACTCAATGATCAGTGGCAGACTGTCAAGTCAAGTAGGGTATGCAGTGCATACCCTGGCTAAAAATAATATATAAATAAATATTTGTACAATTTCTCCATTTTATTTACTATTTCTTAGCCCCAATCTTCTATACAAACCACCCACACACACCTAGATAGGCCACGGCCTAGCATACCACTTCAATTTGCCCTACGGTCCATCACTGTCAATGATGTATATATTTTGTTTGTTGTATGTTTGTTCTGTGATAAATAGTAATTCAGTCAGATATATTAATTCGATGCCCAATGCATCAATAAAGATGTTGGCTTTCTAGGTGTAGAATCTGACATCCCTATCACAGATCCATACTTCAATGTTACTGTGAATAATGTATATATTGTTATATTTTTGTTTAATGTGGCTATATTTGTGTTTGTTATGTTTGTTATTTTATCCTGCAGGGTAATACATGCAAGAGAATTACAGGGTAATGTAACAATGACCATAATAAATGTTTATGTAGATATAGTTGTTTCTAATAAACAAAAAAAAAATAACTTCTCAGTGAAGAGATTGACTTTTTAGTTCTTTAGGACAGGTCTTATCTAGGATGGAATCATATTTTGTAATCTTGCTTTTAATTTTTATCTTTAGCTTATCATTCCTCCATACTGGATTTACTCTTACAAAAACACAAATAAAACAAAAAACAACAAAAACAAAGTAACAAAACAAAAACAAAAAACAAAGAAAGAAAACAAAAAAAAAACAAAGAAACAAAACAAATTAAACAAAAACAAAAACAAAATTAAAAAAAAAAAAAAAAACAACAAAAAAAAGTGTGGTGTTGAAAGTATTTCAACTTTTAACTTGAAATAGATTGCTCTGATCATTTTCAGAAGCATAGTGAAGGTATTCATTATTATTGATATATTTATGTATGAGGAGGGCAGGGCCCATTTTTATTGGTATACTGTAGACAACAAAAAAACTGTGTGTTGTTGGAAGTATTTTAACTTTTCAAATAGATTGCTCCAATCATTTTCAGAAGCATAGTGAAGGTATTCATTATTATTTATATGTATGTATAAGGAGGGCAGGGCCCATTTTTATTGGTATACTGTAGGCAACGAAAAAACTGTGTGTTGTTGGAAGTATTTTAACTTTTCAAATAGATTGCTCCAATCATTTTCAGAAGCATAGTGAAGGTATTCATTATTATTGATATACAGTACTATGTATGAGCAGGGCAGAGCCCATTTTGATCAGTATACTGACAAGTGTGGATAAAGTAATAAAAGGTATCTGTTTTTTATACCATGTCTAGTAGAATTTGTACAGAGTGTACATTTTCCGATTTTGGATATTTTCTACAGATTTTTTAGAATTATGACAATGAGGTGCTCTCTCTCCACCAACTATTTTTATACACTTCGCAACAAATGTATAGATTTGTCACCATTTGTTAAATTTTTACTGCACAGGGTATAAATACAATATGTGTACGGTCTTATCATTTCTTAAGAGGTATATATAGTTTGTGGCTGAAGTCCAAGTTGTTGGTATAGTTGTATCTTAAAAAGTGTGTATAAACAGATAGATAAATAATAACAGTGCTTGAATAGGAACATGATATTGTGGTTGAATGAAAAAAATTCTCTGTGGCAGGATTTTAACTCGCAACGTCTCGCTATCAAGACGGTGAATATTTTTGATTAAATAATTAAAAGGTAATAATTATAGTGATACATATGTTACTATTATAAACTGTTTTTGAGACAAACACATGTGGTCTGGCAATTTATAGGCATTATGATGTCATATCATGTTATATATCATTTTACACCCATATATGGGACAACTACAGGTGTTGTATCCAACTTGACAGTGGACTTATAGCTTTAGGCTAAATAAAAAAAAAAGGTCTTGATCATTCCTTTTTATTTGGCCCTAACTTAATGAGTAATGTTCTGTAACTTTAATAATACTTTTAATGTTCTGTAAATATAATAATAATAATACTTTTAATGTTAATACTTTTTTCATTCCATTATTATTTGTTTTATCTAGTGATAGAATTATAGTATGAAGACATTGATATCATGTCATATCGGCTTTAGGCTATAAATAAAAAAAAATTATCTTGTTGTTCCTTTTATTTGGCCCTAAGTTCAATAGGTATTGTAATTCTTAGTAACATAATAATTTTTTATTCCATTTATTTTAACTAGTAGTGTTGAATAAGAATATAAGGACATGATATCATGTCATAGTCAGTGGAGTGTATGTAACATACAGTGGAGTTTTGTAAACCGGGCACCCAAGTGACTCCTTAGCAATTGCAACATCACAGCGATGCACGCAAATGATCACTTTTATACCTGCTTCTACCCAAATCACCACCATCAATCAGACGGCATCATCTTGTCAAGTGCCCAGCTGAAAATGGTTGTTAAGGAGTTGTCTTTCAAGACAATCTACCCTATAGAATAGTTTAAAATACATATTTTCTCCTAGCTTATTATTTATCTGTCTTCCTTATATTTGTTAACTTAAAGTAGGCCTACTTGTTACCTGTTGTACAATAATTCAGACATTTAGGACATTACTACCCACATTTTCAGAGACAATATTAAAAGTTTTCACATGTACTTATTTTATAAGAAAACATTTTATAAGAACACTGAGGCTGAAATTGCATAAAAACTAAGGACAAAATAAGAATATTTTGAGACTGAAATTGACAAGAAAATAAGAACACTAAGCCTGGGCAAAATTTATAAAATGTTGTAATAAAAAATTTGATTTGTGATGTTTAATACTTCATCTTGTAATGATTTCGGTAGTTGATCAATGTATCTTTGGTTCAGTCCTATGACTTGCATGCATCTTTTATGTGTCTACTAGAATGGACTTCCACTTGATCATTGCCTCTGCATGTTAAAGCTTCTTTCAAGTGGTCTTCATCCTTAACTGTAATCTTGTCTCCAGCAATATAGTAACTGAAAATCCAAGTGTGTCTTGTAAATGTCTGAATTATTACACTTTTGTTGGGCAAATGTCCACCTTTATCGTTGACCGGTCTTCCTTCAAAATTCATCCAGATTATTCTGACGACTTGTTATTAAACTTCATCTGTTTTATTGTTCCTCCTGTCCTAGATTTCATCCATATTGTTATCCTATTTGAATAAAAAAATATTATTGTCAATTTGTGAGAAAAATGTATCTGAACTTTTCTTAGTGCAAGCAATACATGATTGCTAGGCCTTCAAATTAATTATTAATATTATTGTTGTTTACTTAATATTCAAGCAGTATATCCAATTACTGGGTGCTAGACAAAATACTGTAAATGCTCAAATAAGCACCACAGCACTTATAAAATTGTGTACAGGTATCTTGGGCATTCCTGTAGTCCAGTAGTTCTATTTTAGGTCCTGCATCATTGTAAATAAATATTTATAATATAAAGAAATGTTTGTGTCTTCATTGTATTCATTTTAACACTTTATACATTTTACTTAAAACCCTGTTTTATTACACACAGTGTAGTATATACTCTCGATTAAGCACACAGCCCTTATTTGAGAATGGAGCTTAGCAAAAAAAAAATCGGTTTGGTGCAGCGCTTATGAAGATTTGCGGTTAAAATATGAGCATTTACAGTAATATTTTTTTAATTGCCTGTGTTTTGTTTTGCCTCCTCACTTATTTCATCCTCATGGAATATAAAAAGTGCTGCCAAAGATTGATAATGAAAGACAACCAAGTTACAGAGCATGCCTCGTGGTAGGGGAGGCTGAAATTGCTTAAAAATTCAGAAAAAGTAAGAGCAAATTGAAGCTGAGGTAAAAATGTCAAATGATGAGGTTTTTATATTTAAAAAAATGAAAAACTGCTGTTCCATATTTGAGCGGGTGTGACTATGTAATACCCGCTATAACACATTGTGAATAATTAATAAAATATATTTGCATATATCTAATTTGAATATTTTTATAATCTTTTATTGATTTTTTCAAATAAAATGGACAATTATTTTAAAAATTTAATAAAAACTTTAAATATATATTTATTAATAACAATTATTTTCAATATTTAAGGTTTTCCTACTTTAAAAAATGAGCTTGAATTAATTTGACACCATGATCATGCGTAATGTTGACCCACAGCTGTATATATATGAATATGTTTTTTTAATTAGGTTACCTGCCTATTTTCTCGAACGGATTCCGATCTAGTTTACATTCTGAGCGCTTGGCCATATTTTCGAGGTGTACGTCGTTTGTGTGTACTACTAGCGAGTATTCGCGGGGGGGAGCTTCCGGCAAGTTCGGAGTTAGGTAGTCTCAAGATTCGACTGACAGGTACTTGATAGTGCTAGGTTCTCCGCATTTATGGCTTAGGGGTCGCGGTGCTTTCCTCCGTTCAGTTGTTTCAAATTGGGACCGAGTTAGTGAACCCTATAGTTAATGGTCTTGCTTGGTGGGCATAACCTTGCATGGAATGGATAGGGATAGTCGGGGAGGAATGACTAGGGCTCCGATTCCTGGCCAGGGTGAAAGCTCGTTTTGCTATATTTTTTCTTATCTTATATTTTTTATTGCTTTGAGGAACACGTACAGGATGAATATATCAATACAGATGAACATTCAAATTACTTGTACTGTACGTACATTAAATAAAGTAGCCTTCATTTGAAAGTTCGAACAAGATACATTATTTCCTCATCATTGAAACAAACTGTAGGCCTATGCAAACCTAACTTAGTTCAGTTTATTAAATGATAAGATACTCTCCTAAAAAGGGGAAGATTGGAGTTGCTATGCTTTTAGCATAATTATATTAACATCATTGCGCTCAGTGCGCGCCATACATTAAATTGGCGCGTCCCATATACTCCCTAAAAAATAACTCACTCGTTGGTGGCGCTGTTGAGAATGAGGATAAATAACAAGAGGAGGATTGATTTTTAGGGTTCAATCAAAGGTGATATTTTGGAGACATTATGTAATTATTTATGTGTTTATTCAGATATGCTGATTTATTTTTGTACTACACTATAAACCGTAATGCCTTTGGGTTTTTATTTAGGAGTAGGGCCTAGGCTAAGGAGCTAGGCTAGGCCTATAGTAGGTCCAGGAGGCTAGCCCAGAGAGCAGGAAGGAGGCAGGCATTGTTGAAAATGTTGTGTCATTGATGGGGGATGAGGCACGGGTGCAATTCGTATTTTGGACTTCCCTGCCTGCCTTTGTTGTTGGAACCAGACTTTTTGTAACTTTGAGAATGTTTGTGTAAATAGTCTATAGAATGTTTTCTTTGTATTTTTTTGTCATAAGAATCAATCAATCTACTATTTATTTCATAAATTCCCAGATGTCTTAGATGTTTAAATGTAATCTTGTATCTATAGACTATGTTTCATTTTAATGTACCTGTTTGTAATCTTCGTTATAAACCTTTTCTTCATGTTAAATATTCTCGTGTAAATGTTTGTAAAATTGGTATTTTTCGTAGAATTTCGTCAGCTTATAACGCTTGTCTTTTAAAGAATAATTTTTTGGATATTTTTAACTGTAATTACTCGCAATTTAAAAGTATTAATAATGAACTAGTTTTTTAATTTGTATTGTATATATTTATGCTCTGTTTACAGAAAATTTTATTTCAACCTATTATTGGTGTTTTACACTGTTGGTTGAGAATAAAGGTATGTAGTGTAATTGTAAACAAGCTTTAAATTTAAATATAAATTATATGATACTATCGATTTAACCCCACACATGATATTTTTCGGGGGGAAAAAAAAAATTATTATTTGTTTGTTGTTAAGTTTATACTTTGTTTTTTTAAACTTTTTAAGTCAGTTTTAACAAAATATTTACGTTTCGTGTAGTGTTGTACTCTATTCACATTTGGCCTACATTAATGCTGAACCCACTTTGAAAGTAATAATGCTGTACTTCTGCACTTAAAGCGGGATTCAGTACTGTATTGATTGCCCATCTGACTCAAAGTATATTCCTACTTTTAATACTATTAAGCCTTTGTTGAGCATTACAAGACTAGCAGTAATTACTACTAAGTAGAAGTGAGGCCTAACATTACTTTTGCCTGGGATATTATAATTTTACATCTTGTATTTTTCTAGACTTGTAATCGCTTGTTGACATAGTAAAAATTAAAATGGCAGAAAAAAGAAATGATGAAGATGTAGCCAAGTCTCCTGTTACACAACAGACTACTATTAAAAAGAAGAAAAGTAAGATTTATGTTGGTATTCTGCCGGATCATTTTAAATTAAAATCATTCAGTTAAGATTTGTGTCTTAATGATAGTTGTATTAACCTTAAGAAATTGCACTTACCTTATATTCTCGCCTGTAAGGCGATCTGCATATAAGACAACTCTGAGTTTGAGAGGATTTTTGGACGATGTTAGTATGTTGTGTGTATAAGACAATATCCCCCTCCCCTCTCCTGTTCCACTGTCAGAATTCCTAACTTTTGCTGCTCTTTTAGTCTTCATAATGCATTTAGCTAGCTAAAAAAAAAGCTAGCTAATTTTCCAAATACACTAATTCTATTTTATGGGCTTTTAAATGTTCATCAGAATCTTATTTCCCTGCATTTAAAATTGCGTTCATATATTAAATTAGCTTCTTTTCAGTACTAAATTTGCATGTTACAAATGATATAAGACGAAAATGAATTGAAAATGAAAACATTTTAAGAAATGTGTATGTGTTGCGTGTATATATAAGACGACCCCCTGTTTTTCGATAGTCATTTGTTATCTTAAGCCTTGATAATATATGGTAAATGTTAAGAAAATCTTTAAGGGTTTTGCAGATTCATAACTGAGATTTTAATAACCAAATAACCATTGGCAATAAAGATTAATTAATATCTGAATTGATTTCTTTTTAAGTTGATGTATTACTAAAGGCAACAGGTGATGCACCAATTATGAAGCAGAAGAAGTGGGCTGTTGAACCTACTAAGACTATTGCAGGGATTGTTGATTTCGTAAGAAAGTACATCAAATGTGATCCCACAGAATCTCTGGTGAGTGATTGGTGGAATAGATAATTGAATAAGAATTATGAGATGATCAGTAATTTATATACTCCTTAAATGTAGTCTTTGGCTCACTGACGTTTCAGTGAGGGGTGCCTTCGAGGGCATACTCTTTATAGTGGCGCCAGGATTTGCCCAACGGGGGTTCCAAGGACCCTGACCGGGGATGGGTGGCGGGGAATGTCCCAGACGAAAAAAAAGTGGGAGTGTTCAGGCAGCACTCAAAATCTCACTTAATCATTTTTGGAGTCTACTAATATGTAGAAAATAAACGTTTTTTTTTTCTCCCCGACGATTTGTGGTTTCTCTCCCCGACGGAGGGCCCTGACGCCAACCCTGCCGGAAGGTTGCGCTGCCACTACAGCTACCTCAATTAGAAGGGGGCTGGGGACCAATGTGTCAAGTGAGCCTTAGAGTTTATCACAAAAGTCAGCAAGGAAATAGCGATGATGGCAGAAATCCGAATATATCGATATTCATATTGATATGCTTTTTTTTTTCAGTTTATTTATGTGAATCAAGCATTTTCGCCGTCCCCTGACCAAACAATCAAGAACCTCTTTGAAGTAAGTATTTTTTCATTATATTTAACATTTTTTTCATTATACCTAATAATAACAATAATAATAAAATTAATAATAATAATTAATAACATAATAATAAAATTGACAATAATAATATAATAATAACTTATATAATTTTCAATTAAAACAAGTTGTTCAATGGGCTTTGCAAAAGTTAAAATGGACAAATCAAATGTAAATGCATTAAAAATAATTATTAACAAGCTTAAAATTACAAAATACCAAATTTAAATATTTTACATGAAAAAAATGATATAATTAAACAGGATTTAAAAGGAACACACAGAGGCAATAAAATTATGGATTAACTTAAGAAGCACATCAAGTGAGTAAAATTAATATTAATATTAATTATTATTATTATTATTATTAATATCATTATTATTAATATAAATTGCATTCAATTATTTGTATTTAAGTTATTACTTTAGCTCAATTAAAATTTATAACTGAAACATAATTTCTTTGCCAATTCACAGACCCATAAATAATACCGTTTCTGTATTATAATTTTCATTTATTTATAGGAACATTTATTTTCTTCAGTGTTTGTATTAAAGATTATGATAATGTTTTTAATAATAACGATAATAATAATATTAATAATAATAATAATAATAATAATAATAATAATAACTGGAGGGCACTCGGATAGTGCATACCTCCGCCCACATAATAATTCTCCTCAGTATAAATTTCCCCTGCATATCGTTCCCATAAAAAAAAAATTCATAATAAAAAAAGAGAAAACTAAAAAGTAGACTCCTTGGGATTTGAATCTGGGACTGGTAGTGTGGAAAACACTCTTCTAACCACTACACCAAACTGTTTTCACATAATCACTTTGAAATTAATGGTCATATGTTTGTTTACACTTTACTGGCAAGCCCACACGCACACGTCCATACGGCAGATAGTTATACTTAAGTAGTTTTTCGATCATTGTGTCCTTGACCTTTGACCCTGACCCTTCAAAATTTATTCACTTCCAGATCTTTGATAAAGAAGAATTGTAGCAAAGTTTCTCATAAAAACTGTTTCAAAAAAATAAATCATTTTTTGTTGACCCTTATCCTTCAACATTCAAATACTTTGAGATCTTTGGTCATGGAACATTGTGACCAAGTTCGACAAATTTGTGATTAAAACTATGGGCTGTAGACAAATGAATACAAATTTATTTTTTGTTGACCCTTTAAAATTTAATCAGATCTAGATCTCAGGTAAAGGAATATTGTGGCCAAAATTGATGGATTTCTGATAAAAACTATTTGCTGTAGGCTGTTCACAACAAATATGCTGACATACAAATAAACAAACAAATAAACGGGCAAAAATATAACCTCCTGCCAACTTCATTGGCGGAGGTAATAATAATAATAATAATATAATCATGATAACAAATTGCAATAATATATGTAGTACAGTACTTTATGTATGTATTTCTATAACTATTTAGAGGTTGATAGTAATTATTGCCTGTGTATAACTTTTATGATTTTATGTAAGAGGTTGTTTTGATGTTTGTATTAATGATTATGACAATTTTAATAATAATAATAATTAAAATAATAATAAGAATTGTAATAACAATAATATATGTTTTCATAACTATTTTAATCAAAATTCTGTCCATGGATGAAGATTTGAATGGAACAAATAAAGTTTGATTTGATTTGATATAAAATATAAATAATGCAATAAGTTATAAATTTTATATACATGTATTCTCATTCCATTCAAATATGTTATTAATTATAAACCAACCGTCTCTTTCAGTGTTTTGGTAGCGATGGTAAACTTGTTCTCCATTACTGCAAGAGTGAAGCATGGGGTTGACACCAGCTGCCGGATGTTATCATTTATGGTGGATTAAGGACTCTTAGCAATGAATGTGTGTTTGCTGCTAACATCACTTCAGCTACATGGAATCTTCAGTGCAGTCAGGAAATTACCTGTACTACATGTTTCTATTATGAAAGAGTATAAAATTGTAAGAGATCCAACTGCCCTGATTTTTTATGCAAGCAATGAAACATTAAAAAAAAGTACTACTACAAGATAGGGGGAGCCCTAATAGAGTTCGAACCTCGCCTTTTGAAGGACTTAGTTCGTGATTGTACTTTTTGAAATAGGATTACGTTCCAACGCTACCCTGGGAGTTGGACCTTTGCTCAGTTCTATACTCTTTGCTATTATATGCACTGTTTTTATACTGTTGAAGAGTAAACTGACACATGCCATCAAATCTGAGAATCGAAATTAGTAATTTTATTAATATTCCTAACCAATACTTAAGAATTTTGAACTCAATTATTTAATCATAATTGTGGTAATTTAAAGAATTATAACTATCTACTGTGTTCCCCTTGACAGATGAAGGGGTGAGGGAATTCTACTTTAATAATATATTAACACCTTCCGATAATTTAACTCTCCTATTCAACGTCTGCTTATATTGTAATTATAACAGTAATCTATTAATGAAGATTTTAAGCTTGGTTTCCATACCATCGCTACATGCTATCGCTGATGCTGATTGGTCGGTCGAATCGGGGAGCCTTCCCGATTGCATCGAAGTCTGCTACACGCAGTGCAACGATTGCACTGAAAACACTGTATAGTGACAGTATTAGCGACTGTATGGAAACAAGCAAATTTGACTTGCATGTTGCAATAAAACAAATTATTTAACCATGTTTTCATGGGTTGTTGGATTCACTATATGTATAAAGGCATATTTTTTATTAAATCAGATACCCAATTAAACAGATGACCACTGGATTGAAAGTGCTGAAAAAACTTTGGTTGGCATCAGTATGTTAAATATATTTTAATTCTTTGTACTTTCTCCAACATCTTAGTGGAGATTTTATTATCTGTTGGTTTGGGATTGAATGAGATAAAATAAATAAATCAAATGAATTACAAATAATGAATCTGACTTTTTCTTTTCAGTCTTTGTGGTTTTAATTTTACGCAGTAACGTACTGTATAACATTTATTTGGAAATTCTTTCATAAACTTAAATGGCCAAGGAGCACACAGAAGACAGATTTCTGTTGGTGTATCCATTACACAAAAAGGCGAAACAACATCATCAAAATACTGTAGTTAACAAGATCAATATAAAAATTATCGATCAATCAGATTCGCCAGTCAATCAGCCAATCGATCAATCAATAAACAGAACCCATTAGCTGATTAACCAGCCAGGTTTATCTATCATCTAAACACTACCTATCTACATAGGCCTACATTGACAACAGATACTTTATAAAACTTAATTTTAGATGTTTCTAAATTTTACATAGAATACTGTATGGTACAACTGCAATATTTAACAGTGAACTTCACTCAGCTATAGGAGAAATCCAGCAATTGCCAAGGTGTTGAAAAACAAACAGTTCTCTACAATTTCAAATGCAAACAAAGTAGGGATACAATTGAGGGCACTACATAGTAAATATGAATATTTTCACCAAGTTACAGTGAAAATTATTATCAACAATAATATGCACGATTTTTTATATATTTGTATACTATACCAGATTCAGATTTAGATTTAACAATCAATCATATTCAAAAAATACATGAAATTTGTTTTCCTGAGTTACACACATACATTATTCATTAAAATACAGTACAAGTACAAGTACATAAATTCAAACAAAGTATGGATAAAATTGAGGGCAGTAAATAGTAAATATGAATATTCATTAGTTAATTAGGGATAAAATAGAGGGCGCTACATAGTAAATATGAATATTTTCACCAAGTTACAGTGAAAATTATTATCAACAATAATACGCACGATTTTTTATATATTTGTATACTATACAAGATTCAGATTTAGATTTAATGATCAATCATATTAAAAAATACAAGAAATTTGTTTTCCTGAGTTACACACATAAATTATTCATTAAAATAAAGTACAAGTACAAGTACATAAATTCAAACAAAGTATGGATAAAATTGAGGGCAGTACATAGTAAATATGAATATTCATTAGTTAATTTGGGATAAAATTGAGGGCGCTACATAGTAAATATGAATATTTTCACCAAGTTACAGTGAAAATTATTATCAACAATAATACGCACGATTTTTTATATATTTGTATACTAAAAGATATTCAGATTTAGATTTAATGATCAATCATATTTAAAAATACATGAAATTTGTTTGTTTTGTGTGGATACATAGTAAAAATGAATATTTGCATAGTAAATATAAATAAACGACACCAGTTTACAGTGGACATAAATCAGCAATAAGACAATTACAGTAACTACAAAACTGGTTTAATTATTTTCGAAATTTAAACAAAATAGTGGTAAAGTAAAATTGAGGGCGCTACATAATAATTATAAATATTCATTATTAAATTATAACATCATTTTACAGTGGAAATTAATAAACAATTGAGGGCGCTATATATTTGGTTATTTATAGTGCCTTTCTTTGCAGATACGAAGTAATACATAGTAATTATGAATATTCAGTAGTTAATTATGACACCAGTTTACAGTGGAATTTATTCAGCCTTAAGACAATCACAAGCACAACCAGTTTCTAGGTTAAATAATATAAATGTTAATTAACGAAATAGTGATAGTGATGATAAAATTGAGGGCGCTACACAAATAACCGCAGTAAACATGAATATTCAGTAGTTAATTATGACGCCAGATAGATAGAGGGCGGTATAGAAACACATAAATAGTTTACATAAATATTCATTAGAGAGCGAAGATGTAGTTTAACATTCACAAAAAAACATGGTATCTCAGATCCACTTGGTTAGCTCAGTGGTTAGTGCTACAACTCTTGACTTGTAGATACCTGGTTCAAGTCTCTAAAACACTTTATTTTTTTTTTTTTTTTAAATACATTAGGCGTGTATAGCTTAACATTCAAAAATTAACATGCACTCTCAGAGCCACTTGGTTAGCTCAGTGGTCAGTGCTATGGGTATAGCATTGAGGATACCTGGTTCAAAGCTCAAGAAAACTCCAATTTTTTTTTTTTTAAATAAATATTAAGTGCGGTTTAACATTTAGAAATTAACACATTCTTTCGTGAGACTGTTGGCTTGGAGGTAGACGCACTGCTTCCTAAACTTGGTACATAGGTTCAAGTCTCAGCTCGGACAGGGCGGAACTCTCGGACAGGGCGGAGCACTCGGACAGGGCGGCGAACTTGGACAGGGCAGCGAATTCGGACAGGGAGGCGGACAGGGAGGCGAACTTGGACAGGGAGGCGAACTCGGACAGGGAGGCAAACTCAGATAGACAGAGACAAAGAGGGTGACACGCAGAGAGCGGACAGGACAGTAAAAAAATTTTGCATTTTTTTTTTTTTTTTTCAAATTTTGCGTTTTTTTTTCCAAATTTAAAAAAAAAAAAAAAACCTTCCACAGATTTGAACCAGCAACGTTCAGGTCTGTAACCAACCTCACTAACCGTTGTACCACAGACATATCTGAATGAAACTAATTAATTCTAACTGGTAAACCTTACACTACTTAAGACACAAAAATAAAAAAAAAAACACTAGAGCTGCTGTTTACAAAGCAAACCTCTGTAAAACAGCAGAATATGTGGTTTTCAGTGCTAAACAATGTAATAACAGATAAAATCACTAAAAAAGAAACAATAAACAGTTTTATTTATGGATTTTATTTTTAAAATGTTAAAAATTTGTCAAGCCCAACAGCATAACCCTATCTCATTGGATCAAAATAAGAGAGATGAGCTATAACATTCAGTATTTTCACATTTGAAAAATTGATTAAAAAAATGTTAGTCAAAACTTGAATTACCGAGAGGTAATGACCTTAAAAGGGTCATCGAGTGAAAAAAGTCACAAAATTATTTAACATATTATTACACTTCATATCGCTAAACAAGGTACAAAAAAGGTCTCGCCTTATGGGCAGGAATTGTTAAACTTTCCTTTTTTGGAAATAGTGAAAACATTATCAAAAGAAGAAACAAAAATAGTCATATATTACAATTTTAAGTATTAAACACACTACGAAAATAATAGCAATCATTTATATATATATATTTATACTGAAAACTGGGACTACATAAAATATCAATTATTCCACACAAGCTATGACTACTCCAAAAAAAAAATGTGTTTGTATATGAGGTAAACAGACTAAAAACACCGGTATTGTAAACGATTTCATATAATTCCATTGTAATAATAGTTATAATTAAATTTTTAGATTTGTTGAACAACCTTATTGTTTTAGTACTGATTACTGTATTATCAACTAACTTTAGCATGGAAAAGAACATTTAAGGATTATTGTTATAATCAAGAGCAAATAAATATGGAATATAAACTAACATATTAATATCCTAAGCACCAAAAATACTGTAACCATGGACTTTCTTATTGGCCTATGTGCTAACTCTTGTGTTTGGCTGGTTCACAGTGCCCCTAGCTTTGCTATTTTTTTTACTGGTTTTCCTGTGTTTATGTAAATCCCCCGGCCGACCCAAATTTTACGAAATAAGTGTCAGCATTTTAGTTTTTTTTTTATGAGCAAATAAGGCAGGAATAGCTTTGGTGAGGTTAGGGGGCCAAGGCAAGCCTATTTTGCTGGAGGGTATGCAATGCAAATCCAAAATTCTTGTATTACTTGTGTATTTTCTAATTTTAGGTCTAACCACATATTTTGTTGTAAAAAAAAAAAAAAAAAAATTTCCTACCGACCTACACATTTTTTGGATTTTCTCACAAAAAAAAATATTTTTTTTGTGGCCTTATTGCTGGTGCTGTGCTTTTTATCCATTGTTACTTTTTTACGTCTTGTTTTTTTATGTTTGTGCTGTGAATTTCTCATCAAAATTTAAACCCATGACTTGACAATATTGACTTTTGGGTAATGCAATGGTAAGGGTGCTGTCTCGGATGTTTTTCCACAGTCGTGTTTGAAAATGTTGTTGTGTTGGTGCTTGTTTGATTGACAGTGGTAATATGTTCCATGCTCTTACTGTACATGGAAAAAAGAACTTGTATTTGTCTGTATTAAATTTAATGGCTCTAAGACTATAATAATTGTTGCTTCTTAGTTGTCTACTTTGTTCTATCATGCTGATGTTGGGGAGTACTATGGGTGATCTCCCATGCCATGTTTTATATAAGAGTGATTGTCGTGCGACAAACCATTTCAGCTTTTCCTGATTTTTTGCATATCTTGCAGCTTTATTTTGAATTGATTGATTGCCTGCCTGAAGGGTGGGCAAAGGCCCCCCCCCCCACCGCCACTGGCGTCCCCACTGAACTAAAAGATGATGACCAGTACATATGAGTGTTTTGTAATTCAGGCCAACATTTGAAATACCACGTTTTAAAATCTCAACAAAACTTCTCTAAAGGGGAAGCCCGAAGGGGGAGGGGCTGCATCTCATATCACCCTTCCCCTGTTATAATTAAATTTTTAGATTTGTTGAACAACCTGATTGTTTTAGTATACTTTAGTATACTTAGTATATTTTAGTATACTGATTACTGTATTATCAATTAACTTTAGCATGGAAAAGAATATTTAAGGATTATTGTTATAATTAAGTGCAATATGAAATATAAACTAACATATTAATATCTTAAGCTCCAAAAATATTTTTTTAATATCTTGCCTGCTTACGTACTGTAACCATTGATTTTCTTATTGGCCCATTGACCTACACATTTTTTGGATTTTCTCACACAAAAAAATTTTTTTTTTGGCCTTATTTCTGGTGCTGTGCTTTTTATCCATTGTTACTTGCTCTTTAAGTCTTGTTTTTATGTTTGTGTTGTGAATTTCTTGAATTTTGCCATATTCTGTTTTTTTTTAAGGCAATAATTGTAATACATTCATATATGTTAATATTAAGCACCAAAATATATTTTTTTTAATATCTTGCCTGCTTAAGTACTGTAACCATGGACTTTCTTACTGGCTCATGTGCTAACTCTTGCGTTTGGCTGACTCACAGTCCCCCTAGCTTGATATTTTTTACTGGTTTTCCTGTGTTTATGTAAATTGTTTTTTTCAAACTTTTATTCAATTTTTAATAAATGTGTATTTTATATGCCCTTTTCATTTCTTCCATTTTTTCTTTTTATTGTGTTGGCACGCCCGGCCGACCCAAATTTTAAGAAATTAAGTGTCAGTATTTTATTTATTTATTTTTTTTTGACAATAAACAATATTATTTTATGAGCAAATAAGGCTGGAATAGCCTTGGAGAGGTTAGGGGGCAAAGGCTACCCTATTTTGCTGGATGGTATGCGATTCGAATCGAAATGTTGCATTATTTGTGTATTTCCTACCGACCTACACATTTTTTGGATTTTCTCAAAATGTGGCCAACACAAAAAATTTGGGTTCTTTTTTGGCCTTATCTCTGGTGCTGTGCCTTTTATCCATTGTTACTTGCTCTTTTACGTCTTGTTTTTATGTTTGTGTTGTAAATTTCTTGAATTTTGCCGTATTCTGTTTTTTTTAAATCAATAATTGTAATACATTCATATATGTCAGCCTTTTTGCTGTCTGTTTGCATTTCTACATATTTTTTTGAATGCATGAATAAAGACCTTGATTAATTATAATATGGCTTTAATAATCTAAATTTAAAGAACAATATTAAATAACAAGTATTATTATTTTAGATTAATAACTATGAATAAATTACATACCTTGAAAACAACACTGCAATAATGAAAAGAAAAAGAGAATTCCAGTAGCACCAAGGTTTTACGTCAACCAAGTTAACAAATACCTGCAAGGACAGAAAGCATTTATAAGGTTATTATACGCTTCATCGGTTGACAATGTCATTTCATTCTTTATTCTGTTCAAATTCACTTACGAAATACTCTATATGAAAACTCTATATGAACGCTCTATATGAACACTCTATATGAACACTGTATATGAACACTCTTTACGAACAATCTATATGAGCGCACGCTCCCCACCACCCTTAATTTCCACAAAAAAACACTCCTTTCCACTTTGTGAAGCAAAATACAATTAAATGTGTTAGGAGCGAGGAATCTTTCCAAACTTCCACGAATAGGGGGCGGGGGGGGAGTGGAGCCTGACTACTCACTGTAATTAATTACTGATTTTGGGGTCCATTTGGGACCCCAATGAAAAAAACAAAAACAGCACGATTCTTCAAATACCATGTGGAAGCCCAATATAAAAAAAGCATGATTCAGCTCGGCTCACAACTTAAGAACTAGTTTGATGTCCAGTGCATAAAAAAAAAGAATGATTAAGAGCGGTTCACAACTTAACAAATGGTTCCATGACCAGTGTAGAAAAAAAAATGCTATTAAGTGCAGTTCTCCACTTAACGAATGGTTCAATGAGTGTAGAAAAAAAAATGCTATCAAGCGCGGTTCACAAAACGAATGGTTCAATGACAGTGCAGAAAAAAAATCCGAATGAACACACTTCACAACTTAGGCATGGTTCATTGACAAGTGCAGAAAAATAAAACATGATTGAGCTTGGCTCACAATATGGTTCAATGGCAAGAGCAAAAAAAATGTGATTGAGCGGCTCACAACTTAAGGAATGGTTCAAAAACCAATGCAAAATAAAAAAACAATTGAGCATGGCTCAAAACTAAATGATGACAAGTGCAGAAAAAAAAAGAAAAAAAAAAGTACAGTACAATTGAGTTTGTAACTCAGGCCAGGGGGAGAAAAAAACAGCATGTTCAAAGTACCATGTGGATGCCCAATAGAAAAAAAGCATGATTGAGCGCAGCTCACAAGTTAAGAAATAGCTTGATGTCCAGTGCAGACAAAAAAAAGTATGATTGAGTGCGGTTAACAATGTAAGGAATGGTTCAATGACCAGTGCAGAAAAAAAATCAGGATTGAGCATGGCTCACACCAGTGCAGAAAAAAAAAGGATGATTAAGCGCATGGTTCTATGACCAGTGCAGAAAAAAAAAACATGTCTGAGAATAGCGTCACTGACAATTCTCTCCAAGCTTCTCCAAATGGGGAGCCTGACGGGGGAGGGGCTATATCTCATAGCCCTAGGGGTGGCACTAGTGGGGGGGGGGGAATTATATGTATTTTCTACATAATTATTAGTAAACTCTAAAATTGATTAAATAAGGTTTTGAAACCCCTAAATTTTCAAAATTTTCTTGGGTTTCACCCCCTTGACCACTTCGAAACATTTAAATCGAGGCTCGACCAAGCCAACTTTGCTTTCGTTGGGGAAATCCACCCCCATCAGGCAAATCGTCCTCCTGGTCGGGCAAATCCTCCGCTGGTGCCACCCCTGACCTATTCACTATAATAATTAATACTGAATTGCTTCGAAATTAAAAAAAAGCGTGATTGAGCGCGGCTCACAACCTAAGGAATGGTTAGACGAAGTGCAAAAAAAAAAGCATGATTGAGCGTGGCTGACAAGTGCAGGAAAAAAAACGATTAGGCGTGGCTTGGTTCTATACTGGTTCGAAGACCAGTACAGAAGGAAAAAACACAGCGGTTTGCATGCTTCATTTACTTTGCCATACAAATTTTTTGTTTTGTCCATTTCTTGAATAAACAACAAACAAACAAATTGTAAAAACTTACGCCGCAAACCAAACATAAAAAACAATCAAGTTATTACATTTTTAATACGATTTTGCATGAATAATAAATAATAAGTTTAAATGTGTTAGGCCTATGTTATTATACAGTATTTACTATGGTTTTATAATTTATATACAGTATTTTTATTTTTGTACTATTTGTTAAACTTATATATAATAAATAATTTAATTAAATAATTTAACAAAATAATACAAATAACGAATAAGTTAATTGAAATACGCCGCAAGCCAAACACATTTTTAATACGATTTTGAAATTATACAACTTCATTTATTTGTATAAAAATGTACATAAAATTACAAATTTAATACGATTTTGCAATTATACAACTTCATATATTTTTATAAAAATGTAGTACATAAATATATTAAAATTCTAATTTTCAATTACACAATTATAAATCACGAACGGCAATACGAGCAAATCAACGACTGACAAGACTGTGGGATGAATATGTAGCTGGTATCCGGGGGGTTCATTCACTGATGACATCGGCAAGCCGACTACATTCACTGAGAGAGACGCACTACATTCATTGAGAGACGCGCTTGGCGTTCCATAGAAATTACCGGCGGCTCAACTTGTCGGCGGCTCAACCGGTCATATCCCCTACAAAGTACGCTCACTGCAGCAAACAGCCCATAAGACGTCGCAAGGAAGTATACTCGACGCCTAGGCCTAGTTACACTTACTTGCGCCGTTATCAATAGTCCTACTACTAAAATTATAAAACCTTGCAATATATATACATTGTACAGTGAGTATTTAGAGGCACAGTATTATCGCTTTACAAAATACGGAACTTACATTATATTGTGATGTATTGCACGCTTCTGCTTTTCCTCCCGCACATGTGGTTTTGTTTATTGTTTTGTTTTGATGATAGCGCCGCCAACGAAAAATCACAGTTTCACACGAATAATACTGTGTAATATGGATAGCGTACTTTTTTTTCAAAATAAAAAGAAAAAGACGTTTGTTCTCTAGAGAGTAGAACACGTTAACTACATCGCTAATCATTGCGCTACTGTACGAGTGAACTTCAAGAACGTGTTAAATTTGGCAATCTTTAACTATAATCCTTTACACTTAATACAAAAATAATTTATATAAAATGTATTCATATTAAGATTTTGAATAAGAATTAAATTTTATTTTGACTGTTTATAACAATAACGATAAAAAGCTAAAAAGCAATTGTTCATATCAAAAATAAAAGAAATAAGAGACACTAAATTGACATCATAATCATAGGAAAACGATACAATTATCATTTTTCAATGACTATGACGTCATTTGAATTGATTTGAAGTTTTTAAGCATACTTATTTTTTAAGAAGTATTAAAAAAAAAAACGAAACACACTTGTTCTCTAGAGAGTTGAACCCGGTAAGTCTAAGATTAAGTTTCACAGCGCTAACCATTACACCATCTGTACTAGTGAACTTGAAAAACTTGTGAATTTGGCAATGTTAAACTATATACCCTAAATCAATAAACGAAAAAAACATTACCAAAAATATGATTCTTAGGACTTGACCCCGGTAAATAAAAAGCTAAGTTCATAAACATTTATATTTATCTAAGATAAATATTTAAACAATATCAATACTAACATACTGTATTTTAACACGGAAAAATTGGTGTCCATTAAATTATTATACAAAACTCCTTTTCATTACATTAACTGGGGTTGAGGTAGTATGGTGTTAATTCGAACCAATTTTTTCTGCTAACGTTAGTTAAATAGGCGAGTGACGTTGCTTGACGATAAGCATTTTGCTTAGCAAATTTCCAGTGGGGGCGCGCTCGTTTTTGATCTGGGTGGTACCACCTATACGCCACTGAACCTAAATAAGCTAATTTTAGGCAGCAATTTTAAATCGTTATCGAATCGTCCTAATGTAAAAACTTCTCTTATTTCTATAAGAACAATCATTTTCTAGTTTTGTATCGTTATTGTTATCGGTGCAAGTATAATCAGGCCTTTAGTGTACCCGCCGACGCAAATAAATGGAAATTGAAAAAAAAAATATTTTTTTAAAATTCGGGGGCCCTTCAATGGCTCCTCCAGACACCACTGGCACTACCCATGCTTTAAAATAGATGAATATTGTTATTTTCCTTTTTTAATTGGGGAGGGGTTCCTTTAATTAGAAACGGGTACCAGCAGACAAATATAATAACAACAAAGCTTACAACATTTTGACGCTGTGAACGTTGTTGGTTGGTTATGTCAGCAATGTTCCTTAACCAATACCAATATATATTTTTAATTTAAAAAAAGGCTTATAACCAGAGTTTTGAATTTGATATTTTTACAATTTAAATAATAATAATTAAAAAAAAAAAAAAAAAAAAAAAATCGCACGCGCCGCCGTTGTGTCGTCCCCTCGCGTGTCTGTCCGCGCGCGTCTCTTACCGTCTTACGTCGAACTTAACTACTTTTACCTCTAAACCTCTACCTAACTTAAACCTCTACTTAACTTAAACCTCTACTTAACTTAAACCTCTACTTAACTTAAACCTGTACTTAACTTAACTAGCCCGCTATAGGGTCTAGATTTATAACCGTGCCCTGTCCGATTGCCATGCCGTATGGCGTGCCCTGTCCGAATGCCATCGTGTATGGCGTGCCCTGTCCGAATGCCATCGTGTATGGCGTGCCCTGTCCGTGTCTAGAACCTGTGTCTAGAACTTTGAAACGCATGCCTCTGAACATTGAACTCTCTTTGGTACATGTTGATTAGTAAGTTTTTAAGCATACTTATGCTTAATTTTTTAAGAATTATTTTTAAAAAAAAGGAACACGCTCGCTCTCTAGAGAATTGAACTCGATAACCGTAACATGATGTTCTACAGCACTAACCACTACACTATCTGTACGACTGAACTTGAAGCACGAGTTAATTTGGCAATGTTAAACTATATATTCTAAATTAATAAAATAAAATAAAAAAACATCAAAATGTAATTCTTAGGACTTCACCCCGGTAAATAAAAGCCTAAGTCCATAAACATTTATATTTCTCTAAGATAAATATTTAAACATGAATACTGTAATCAATACTAAAGTTACATACTGTATTTTAACACGGACAAACTGGTGTCCATTAAATTATTATACAAAAACTACTTTTCATTATATTATTAACTCTTATAGAAGACAACTAAATTGTATTTTGGGAGGAGACTCTGCTTCCAGGGTGGTGGGGTTGAGTTAGGTGTTGATTCGAACCAACTTTTTCTGCGAACGTTAGTTAATTAGGCGAGTGGCGCTTCTTGACGATAAGCATTTGCTTAGTAATTTTCAGTGGGGGCGCGCTTGTTTTTGGTCTGGGTGGTACCACCCACTGAACACAATAGAAGCTAATTTTCGGCAGGAATTTTAAATTTTAAAGTTATAAAACCATTTCGGACAGTAGTACCCCGGAGTGTGACGTGGTTTTCAAACCAAGCGTTCCTAAGAGCTTCGGTCAGTGTCTTGTGAGGATCATGGAGGGTAAAATTTTATGGGATGGCCCAAAATGTAGATCCGCCACTGACAGTGGGGGATTCAAAAAGCCAGTCGTCCTGTCCCCTCTAAATTTTTCAAAATTAAAAATTTAAAAAAAAATGATAAAAAGAAAAAAAAATGATATTCAAATTGTATGAGGTTGCCAATTCTGGCCATTTGAAGGTTCCATAATCATAAATGGGAAAGGGGACTTCTTCTTGAGTCTCCTCTGTCATTTGCGTCGTTACAATAACATGTGAGTTATTCCGAAATACGATCTTCAACAAATTCATTGAAATCGAATTCGTGATATTCAGCTAAAAACCAAGTATTTGTGTAAAACAACTGGAAGATTTATTTTGTTTAAAATCTCATAAATCACACATAATCACTCTACAGACTGTTTAATGCTAATACAATCGTCAGGAATGAGAGAGTACAAGGATTGTATGATGAGTATGTGAATGCATGCCATGTGTATATGCAAATAAGTTAATTGTAAGAATTTGCCGCTGTTGCGGCTGCATGTAGACAATAGCTTGGTTCTTTTTGTTTAGTATTATTTGTTTATAGACTGTTTTTTCTCAATATACTGTACTAATGTGAAACTATATATATGCAAAAAGATTACATTCTGGTAAAATTTTACAGCTCAACAACGTTTAATTATTCAAGAAAGACACTATTCGTCATGGTTAACTGTTAGCAGGTAATAATATGCAAAATCATACAGGTGCAATTTTCGTTCGTATATAATAGATTTTCCGAGGAATTACGACAAACTATTCATTCTTTGTTTTATTTGTACACAGTATAGGGAAAGTGAATTACTTATCAACTATCGTATGGCGCAGGTTATATTCTTTTCCTCAATTGAATACATTTATAAGCCTAGCCCGGGTAATTTTGAGCTAGTACTGTGACTGAAGTACGATATTTCTGTTTTAACTATTACAAGCGACAGGCTGTCTTGTTGGAAACACACGCAAGGTACTGTTTTGTATTTCCCGAGTACGGCGTTTGATTTTCCGCCGAAGGATCAAGATCACGAATTGTACAACACGGAAATTGAACAGAAATGACCTCCGGATGGTTGAAATAAGTAGCTTTTATTTGCTCCTTATTGGAAATATTTATGTAGCCTTGTAATTATTATATGAAATATAATATTATTATAGGCCTATATGACAGGCCCGTAAGGAATCAATTATTGGTCCGGTCAAACGAGAAGAAATCTACCCCGGCCCACCCCACGTCAACCCAGAGTGTTATTTATAAGTACCAGTGGCGGATCAGGGTCTCTCGAGGGGTATCCAGACATCAGGACAATATTTTGAAAAGGGTACCACCTGATGCCCGGAAATGGCACTATGAGACTGTAAAGTAATGTTCTCTACTATGTTTCCTACGCGGGGTTCAGAGCTGTGTTTCCCCAGCTGTTGGTCGTGACGCTGGTGTTTCCCCATAGCCGAAATAGATATTTCGAAAGAGTATTATTCTTAACGGTTTTAGAAGGGAACAAGAGTGGGCAAGCACCTATTCGACAATACTATAACTGGTCCAGGTATGAACGTTGGTGTTTGGAATATTGAAGCTATTTCGTACCGAAACTATACGTTGACTTTTGTTTGCTTGTTCCTGCCACTCAGGATCCCCCTCTTAATGGTTTTTAGCAAAAGCCCAGATATTTCCATTCATTGTTGAGTGGTTTACACACAGTGCTTTCACATATAGCAAGAAGTCGAGCGTAGCTGTGTATTTGAAAAAAAAATGCACATACCTGAACAAAGTTGGATTTATGGCTGAAACTGAAATGCGAGTTGAACAATGGTCCGGGTCAACAAAAACATTACAAATTGTGCCGGGAAAAAAAGCATGGATTCGATTGAGTCATAATCACAACCGATATACCTTGCAAAATCCAATTAAGATCAACGCTGTATAAAACTAATTTCCCTCTAAATAGTGATATTTAACGACCACTTTGTCTTTAGAGGGATTCTAGACCACCCAGTCCAAAAAGTGGTAAAAATACAACACACAAACTGAACTTGCAATCTCTCGCTATCTTGGCGAGAGATTGCAAGTTCGCCGCCATCACGAGGTCGTCGGATCAAAATTAATAATTTGACATCCAAATATCGTTATTTTGATTCCCAATCAATGATATTGTGGCCTAAAAAAACTAAAAGGGATTTTTTTTCAAATTTATTCCGAAATCCTGACAGAGGACTTTTGGTTTGGAACACCTCATCGGACATAAGCTCATGTTTTCTATTCGAGGTTTTACGGTATTTGATAAACTTAAACCTTAATTTTAGCTTTGTGTTTAAATTATATCAACCAAAATATTATTTCTAGGTCTTTCAAGTAGGTCTACTTGTTTTTAAACAGTGGCATGTATAAATTTACACAATTTGGCTATGTTGTGGTAGATAAGTCATCATACGAAATTACAAGAAATTCATCCTGGGCTTTGGACAATGTTTTTTCAATTTTTTATACGGATCATATACCGTAAAACCTCGAATTGAAGCCCTGGGCTTTTCTTTGCGAAATTTGGATGGGATTCTTTTCAAGGTTTCTTTTGAAAATGCTGAAGTCTATTGGGCTTCTATTCGAGGTTTTACGGTAGGTCAATTTTTAAAAGATGTGTCCGCATTATTCACATTATTCAATACAAACATTGAATTTCATTGTTCAAATTTATTAGCTCAAGTGAAACAGTAATGGTTTCAATTTTAACTTTGTCATGTATTGATAATATGCCTATTTCTCTAATACTTCATACTTCATGAAATTGTAGAGTATATAGCTATAAATATAAACTGTATCTATAATCCACAATTGGTTGCAATTCGAGAATATGATTTTGAATTGAAAATTAAATATTCATTATATATATATTTTTCTTTTATGCTCAAAAGTAAGTTTCAAAAGTAAACTCGGGTATTTATAGGTTTATTATGGTACAGTAAGTCTTCAAGAAATAGATTGAAAATTAAATATTCATATAATTGCATAAATATCAAGGTGATTAGAAAACATCTATTGAAATCTGTTCAAATACAGTGAGGAATGTTATAATAGCGAAGTATCCTTCAATCTAGGCTGGTAACAAGATATTTTGACAAAATAATGAACCTTTCTATGGAGTCAATCACACCATCAAACAATTGACCAATCAGAATAGGACCAGGAATACGCGCCCGTCTAACAAGCACTAGTTTTCCCACACAAACGCACGTGTTTGTAATGAATACAGATACGCTATCTTTTTGTGGAACCTTGTCAACAATAACCACGGGGCGAGGCTTAGTGGTAAAAACAATGGAGCTTTCCGTTAACCCCCGCCCCTTGGATATTGTTGCTAAGGTCCCACAAAGCGAGTGTTAAAACACGCGCGAACACGTGCGTTTGAGAGACAACATGTGTGTTTGTGAGACGCACGCGTATTCCTAGCGCTGTTCTGATTAGTCAGTTGTTAAGTTTGACTGACACTCCGGAAAGGTCGAATTGAATTATCTAAATATTAAGTCCTGTCCAGACTATAAAATTTTATTTGACAAAAACATGTGACATGCCTAAATATGGTCATGACATCACATCATGACTATATATGGGCGGCAATTTAATTGTGTTAAGATAACTTGCTGTAATATTGTTTTACTAATCAAATTAATATTATAAATCTAGGCTAATATTAGGACGCCCTCTTTGATTCCTTTTTTTTTTTGGAGCATAATTGATGAATATTTTGTTGTTGCAATAAATATTGAAAGTAAATAGTTCTTAAATGAAATTGATAAATCAAGCTATACATCTTTGGAAAATATAGATAACACATCTATTTCTCTATAAATTTGTTCATCTCTGTATATAAAAAAAAATCTAACAAAATGTTTTTATCTTTATCATATAAAAAATTAAAATTTTAATCATTATTATTTACAGATTTATGTTTTAACTTTGATTTAAGGTCTTATATTACTTCAATATATTCAAATATAATTACATACTCTTCATTTATAAATCAATAAAATTGTGTGGAAATATACATAATTTAGTACACATCTATCAAGTATTGGAATGTATTTTAAAATAATCATATAGAATATTATTTCTATAACATACAATATTAAAAAAATATTTGGTTGTAGTACTTTCTAATTGCAAGAACATCTTAAAACATGCATTTTTAACTTCATTCATCCTGAAAATTAATTACATAGTTGCAAGCAGCGACACTAAAGTAACAAAATCTTTAATCATTATTTCCTGAAGATTTGTATAATGCCATTTCCAAAGATGCTGAGCATTATTACCCGTGGTCATTGGACAACATACAAGCACAAAGCTAAACCTTCTCTGCTCCCTGGGAAGTATACCCAGTCATGCATGTATACTCGGCACACAAAACTAATCACGCTGGCACCATCACACTGCTTTCATCAGGCTACATTTGAAGTGATATCTTTTTAAATATTTTATATGTTTATCTTGTATATAGTATTTATTTTATGTGAAACTGGGTGAGTGGGAAACACTGACATTAGTCACAGTGATTAAGTTCGCTTTAGTGTTTCCATCCAGCTCACCCAGTTGATTTTATGTGTTTTGTCTGTTTTAATTGGAAATAAAAGAATAAGAATAAGAATAAGAATACTGTCATATACAGGTAAGATTTGAATCTTTAAAACATAATATAACTTTATTGCCCATGTGTATACAGTATATAAGGAAAATTTTTTTTTTTTACTGCTGGTTTAATAAAATCATAAATGCATAAAATAAAAATAGGTATGCAAACACTTGGTGAAAGGTCACAGATATTACGAAAATTCTAGTGAACCAGCAGACAAAACACTGCACACAATAGGCAGAAGATGACTATTAGTATAAATTTTGGATACGAAATGTAAACTGTAGTTCATATCATATATACTACTGTACATTTTAAGCATTTATTGGAGTTTATGCTGAAGGTATTAAGTGTCTATAGTGTTACTGTTCCTAGTATTTCCTATAATGTACACATCGGCTAATAAAAAAATGGCCTTGTACAAATTACTCATATATATGATCACTACTTATTTGATCCATATCCACTGATCGGATGGTAATTTCCATTTCTCTCCCGATTGATCGACTTGTTGAGGTCGTTCAGCGTATTGCTTTGGATTTGAACTGGTCTATTTTTAAGTATTGATTTTGGTTGCTGTGGCGCGTTTTCTACCATCTTTTCATCAATCGGAATGTGTCTACGCGGCTGAGATGGAGCGGATGCATGACCATTTGCGACCCCATTAGGAGTTTCTGAACTGCGTTTCTTAGGAGGCATTGCTAAAATATTATCAGCGGCCATTCCGCGAGGATTATTTTCAGTCCGCCGGCCAAAATTTTTCGAAGGAGTCTTTTGATCGAGCCCGTTTACCAGCGGCTGTGGAGACGGCGGACTGGATGCTTGCGACCTCTTTCTGTGTGTTTCAGGGATCAAATTCTGGCTGGATGGTTGCTCATACTTTTTATCAACCTGAGCTAACGGCGGACTGGATGCTTGCGACCTCTTTCTGTGTGTTTCAGGGATCAAAATCTGGCTGGATGGTTGCTCATACTTTTTATCAACCTGAGCTTGGATGTATTGCGATATGAGCACAGTGATCTCAGAGCCTTGTTCAGTTTCAAGGCGCGTCACTTTTTGCACCATAAGATTACCACATTTGATGTCAACAAACCACCGATTCTGAGCAGAACGTAATCTTCTTGTTGAAACAATCTCAGTGAATGGATGTTTGAGAATGCATTCCTGTAAAAGCATACATACATTTAGCAACACAAAAATAAGTTATAACATAGTAGTTTCTTATGTTTGATAAATATCATACTAAACAAATAAACATGTCTTTCCCAGTTTCATGTATCATGCATGGTGAAAAAGGAATAAGGATGTATGTTTGGATTTAGGGGAGAATTGGGAGTAGGAGCAAGAATGGAAGAAGAGGAAGAATGCGGGAATGGAACCCGCATAGATACGTCACTGACTGTAAGAAATGCAGTATCTTTCTTACTTTGGTTTTCTTATTCAGTAAGTATATCCCATAGTTACTGACTGCCAGGACACAGCTACCATGTACCACTGCTCCAGAAACACTCTAAAAGACAAACAGTTATTTAATTAATTTATATATTTGATTAATTGATTAATTGAATGATCTTTTATCTATACATGACTATGTTGGGAACAATCCCAATTATTTAAATCAAACTTTTTACCTTAAAAAAAATTAAGTCTAATTATACCTAAAATACATTTAAAAAAAGAATTGAAGCAATTTAAGTACACAGATAAGAAAATTATGCAGATACTATAGTTCCCATATCTACTAAAAATAGAGTAGAACCCCACCTTTATATATATATATATTTATATGGCCTACCCCTATTCAGGGGACACTCCTGAATAGGGGTAGGAGATCCTTTTTTGGTTCTGCTGGTGTCCCCTTAATAGGGATCCTACTGTAGTAGATTTTTATACTATAGTTTTCTGCTAATACCATAGGCCTAAATGGATGTCCTATAAACTGGTATCTAAGGGACAATCATAGAAATAATTTATTTTTTTTTAAATTCAGGAGCAAGGTAGCTCATGAAAGTAATGATTAAGATTAATAAAAATATCAGCAACTGTAAGTAGGCTTCAATGTCGTGACCTATCTAAAATAGGGTCAACTTACCTCAATGATGAATAAATTAGTCCCAGACATCGGTAACTTCTCTACCTGCTCAATGAAAGCCACCATGGCAGCCTCCTTTGACATATTTTTTATTGCTTGTAACTTATCATCGGTGGCATTCAGCCACTGTTGTTTTTTACCGGTGTCAAGGATCACCATCGGTATCATTTGTGGTAAGTCGCGCCTGTTTGAGACGAAAAAGGGAAATGTTATCAAAATATTGGTTGGTTGGTAGAGTATTCGAATGGCAATCATTAACTCTTGGGTTCAAATCCCTATGGGGATATGTTTTTCTCAAATATCTATTATCTTTAATTAATACCAGTGGAGGTGCATCTCCATACCTAAGTTCCTTTCATGTGATTTACTATTATTCATTGCGTATTATGCAATACTTTGAGAAAAAACTGTCCTAAATGGAAAACCCAAGGGTGCATACCACTTGAGCATGACAAATATTTAAATGCTGCCCTCTATGGCCTGAAAATAAATTCTTCAGTAAGTTTACTCACATGGTTGGCATTTCAACTTTATCTGCTGCTTTGTGTTGCAAAGCCGCCAATTGAACGATCATCGACTTCTTGTCTGGACTCATGCTATTAAAATCACCCTCTGCTGGCAGGCTGTGTAAATACTCCACTTGCATCTAAACATGTTGAAATATTTAGTTAAAGGTCATTTGGGTTCAAATGTTATTTTATTAGTAGAATTGAGGGTTATCATTATCAGTCCTTGCAATGGGGAGGGGTAAGTCTTTGTAACATAGAGGGATGAATAACAGTCTTTACAAATACATAGGTAGTGTTAATCTGTCCTTGTCTTGTAGGGAGAGGCATAGGGAGTGATAGCAGTACTTGCAAAATATGTCAGACCCTCTGTCGGCCAACTTCTGGAGCCACCACTGCGACAGCAGTATTTGCAAGACCGGGAGAGGGATACCAGTCCTTGTCACTGGGAGAGTAGTCTTTTCAACCAATGGAATAACTTAAGAGCATGAGAAGATAAAGAAGAAATCAATTAAATATACCTGTTTAAACAAAGTCTCCGCATGGAGTGGACTTTGGACTTTGATTGGACGGTACCACAACAATTTTTTGAAGAGAAATGAGAATGGAACTTTCTGACATTCAAAGTGAGTTATCACATCCATGATGTAGTCTTTATGCTTAAGAGGAACAATCTGGTTGTCTAAAAATGAAAAAAATGAATAGAAATTAATTAAAAATTACCTGCATACATAATCAATACTCACAAATAAATAATACATGTTAATAGCCTCCTTCCAATAATAGACTTAAATATATTATATAGTATATGCTGTGGCTCCAATGTTAGGATGCAGAATTGACCTGTGCTCTCTGATATGCTGTGATGGAGGTTTGCACAAGAATAATATACTCTTTTTTCAACAGTAATACTCAAAAATCATAGACTAGAACATATATATTTTATAAATCTTTTCAACAATATTTTATGAGGCCGAGCAGAACAATTAGTTCCCTCACTACATAAAATAAAGACAAGAATAGAAGATAAAAATTAAACTGGATATTTAAAATTAAATAAAAATAAATTAAATTAAATTAAAATAGAAAAATGTAAAATCATTGAGCATTAATACATTTCTGCATAGATTATACTGTTCATGAATATTCATATTGGTATTTATAAAAAATAGTAATTGAACATACTGATTATTTATATTATTAACATTATTACGAAGATTTATAAATATTCATAGAAATGAAACATTTACGCTACTTTTTTTTACGACTGCAAATACACTGTACTCTTCGATTTCTTCATTTTCAACAACGTTCAACTCCTGGCAGATGTCCTCGACAACATCTTGCATCGTCGTGCTCCCCATCACCTTCTTGGTGATGGTCATGTTACCAGGTAGGTAGAACATTTGTCGTTTTGTTAATCGTCCATCCTACGCAAAACAAGTAAAATATCAGATATTCATTATCATTTTAGACCAACAAAAAACTAAAAATTTACTACGGGTCTTTTTAAAAATTGTAGCAGACGTCACTAAGAACAATGAAGATAATAATGATGATGCCAATGATAATAACGACGACAAAAATGATGAGATGACAATTGTCAAGTATTCTAGTTTGAATGTGAAGGACATTTTATGTTGTATAATAACGCGACAATGCATTGCTGTTTCAGACATGAAGCGGATTCAACTTACAAGAATATTCTTAATCTCCAAATACAGCGGTGGAATTCTACGTCCTCCTGCCTTGAAGCCACGGACAATGTTCATTTTACAGGTCATCGCTAGGTTCTGCAATATCTGTCGCTGTTCGTCGTCAGGATGTGGAGATGTCAAGTATTCGTAGAGGTATGGCTTGAGAATGTTACTAGGCTGGAAATATGACGAGTAGAACGCAAACATCCGCCAACCTAATATACAACTTTTCCTGAAATTCAATTAATTCGAAGATGGTTGAAAGTAACAAATCATAATAATTTGAGTACTGTTAAAATTCTATAATTACAATAATCATGATAATTGATTAATGATGATAAACATTATGAATATCATTATCATCATTTTCATTTAAATACTATTAATCACTATTATTTTAATACCACAAACAAATGTAGATTTTTACTTACTTTTTTGCACTCTGATTTGCTGTTGTCTGTTTGATTAGATGGCAAAAAACTTCATCAACTAATTCTCCATGTTCAACACATGTCTACATTAAAGAATAATTCTCTTTAGTAACAATTTATATTATTGAGTGATTTTATATGATCTACAAATTTACATTGGTTTGGAATATATAGTAGTTTAATTAATGTCTGTCCACACCATATCTTTACTCTGTTTGAAGTACAGTGGGACAAGGTTAATACCCCATTCAGACTAGCATCGCATTGCGATCTGTTGTAGCAATTGCGACACCCAATCGCTCCCAATCGCAAAGTAAAATCGTGTGTGAAAGCTCACCAATAACAGTCGATATGTAATCGATATCGCAATTGTTACCCGTTGCAATTGGGTGCTACAATCTTTATTACTCCCGATTACCACGAATTCCACAGGCACTGTTTGGCTGAGGTCAGGCAACATAGGCCTAGACACTGGAGGCCTAGGCCCTAGAATGTAAAGTTTGCTTGTGTTGGTCTGAATGCGTTCGTTTATTGCGATCAGGAGTAATCAGTTTTTACCAGTCGATTACCACCGATTACATCGCAACCGATCGCAAGAGAGTATAGTCTCAATAGGGTATAAGAAACATTTATTTTTACCTTGAGAATGAAGTGAACACAGTTCAAGTACGCTTTCTCCTTCGGTATCTTATCTTTCACTTGGACTGGGTAGTCTCCCATAATTTGCATAAGAGCTATAAATCAACAAAATTACATTATTTTAATATAGGATTACATTTTCTCTATTTCCATATTATCTAAAAATTTTAATAACCCTCAACCAGTTCCTTTCCCTCTGTTAATTTGATCATCAAATCAAAAGGCCTTGTGTCTGTCTTTATTGTCATGAAGGAGTGGTTTGCCGCAGCAGTTAAGGTTCTGCTTCTAACCTTGAGGTCGGCGGTTCGATCCCTCACTGTGAATTTTGCTTGTGTCTTTTGGTAAGGCACTTTAGTACGGTTGTTTCTCTCCACCCAAGAGTACAAGTGGGTACCTGGTGTTACAGCTGCAATATTGTAGAATATGTATTATGTGCTTGATCCAATGACCAGGGTAATATTAAATGTGAAGCGCTATTATGTCACATTTAGGCCAGTATGCTATGACACTTTCGCCAGTGCAGTTTTGAAAGTGTAGGCTATGCACCATTCTGTCCTTACCAAGGAAACATTCCAGCGCGGCTTTGTTGACATCTGGATTGGACAGTTTCAGTAACGACACTTGTAGTGGTGAGTTGGAGAACCTTATCAGCTCCTCATACTCTTCAATTGATCTTTGCACTTGTTTGCTCTCTGTAACAAAGTGTTGCATAATAAGAATTATTAAGTCAATCGTGACATCATCACTGAAACTCCCAATGTTATTTTCTTATCCCCAACCGTGTCATGGATTGATTGACATTTTTTAGCAAAAATAAAGTACCTCATTTTTTTCTTTTGCAGGCCCTCAGGAAATTTTTTCATGCACTAATTTAAGCTTCGTATAATAATTTCCACTAGTTTACTATATGTAGCTTTACTAATTGCTTAATATAATTTTCCTTGAGTAGGCTATATTTACTGCAGACAGGGCCCACAGAGAAGACGACCTGGAAATAGGAAATACCTTCTGCAATTCCTTGAGCAAGCAAGTATATTTTATTTTAGTATAATGGCAATTTAATAGACTATACAGACAAAAAGAGACAAAAAAATCTTACTTTTCCCTTTGAAGGGTTTTTTGATTGACCCCATGAAGCGTAGAGATCCACTTATAGAACCATTACTTCTCCTCCGCATTTCATACCTGAAAGAAGAAAGATTTTAATCATATTTCAATGTATTTTTTAAAATACTGAAGAATAAAGGATAAAGGATTCTGCGAAAAATTTGAAAAATTAAATCCTAGCTTCACCCAAATCCCAAGGTCACATGACCACACAAATTAATCCCAAACTGTGACATGCCTAAATATGGTTATAATGACCTATATATGGGCATACAACGGTTTTTTGTCCTTGATAGTGTGGAAAGAGCTTTATTGCTTATTGATTGTTGAGAAGTGTGTGTTCACACTGCCTGCTTAATGAGCTAACATCAAGTTCGCATCACTGTCTATTCAATTACATTTAGACTGATTGGATTTATTAAAGACAAAAATCTATCAAGACTTACTGAGAATGAGATTCTCTGAAGTGTCGCATGGCAAACTCCAACATGGACGATTTCCCAGACATAGCCTGGTTGTCTTGCAGGTAGTTCTGCAAAAAGTAACATTGAATAAACTAATAATTATAATTACAGTATTTGATTTGATAATAGTGATAATAAACAACAATTATTTATATTGTACAATAGTAGCTCACAAAGCTGGGTATAGGAGGTATCTAGATAAAGATAGGGGCCATGTAAAGTGCATAGCTCTGAGCAGGAGTTGGGGGTGGTGTTTGATAATTGTATTTAGAATGCTTGACCACAGAACATTTAATTAAGTCTAAAAATTAGCTGTTTTGGACTAAAATGCTCCCCTCTTTCTAATCTTTTCTTTTCTTCTATTTTTCCCTTTTTGGGGGTCCTAGTTCCCATGCCCCATGGATCTAACCCTAGGATTCATGTTTAATAACCAAGGTGACAATGTACCAGCTACCAAGGCCTTTTCTACATTATTATCCACTCACTGACATACAATATATCCTCTTCCTTCCTATTTAAAAAATCCAAACACATATACAGTACTGAACATAAAGGTCCCGCAAAAGCTCTCCGAGATGTACATGTGCACTTTACAAGATGCCATTATTATTATTATTACTAATATTATTATTATTATTATTATTATTATCAATATCAATATTATTAATAATATTGATATTGATAATAATAATAATATTAATTATTAATATCAATATTATTAATATCAATATTATTATTATTAATATTGTTATTATTGTTATTGTTATTATTATTATTATTATTATTGTTATTATTATTGTTATTGTTATTGTTATTATTATTGTTATTATTATTATTATTATTATTAATAATATTATTATTATTATTATTATTATTATTATTAATAATATTATTATTATTATTAAACAATATTAATATTATTATTATTAATATTAATAATAATATTAATATTATTAATATTAATAATATTAATATTATTAATATTAATATTAATAATAATATTAATATTACCATTATTAATATTTTTAAACTTACCTGCATTTTGAGTGGTATATCTAGTAGATCATCATGTATATCTTCACTCCTCTGTAGATTAAATATAAAAACAATAATAAAATAGAATACTTATTAGAAATACTTATTTGTATACTTTTATTTATTCATTTCATATTTAGTATTTTGTATTTATTTTACTTTATTTATTTATATTTATTTCACCAATATCCAACACTGATAAAGGTAGCCCATAAAAGGATTGACATAAAAGTTTACAAAATATAATAAATCCTTCATCTAAACATGTAAAAGGAAAACAAATAAACAACATAAAAACTAATTACATACAGTTAATGCCCAAAAAAATAAATAAATAAATGAAATATAAAAATAAATTAAATTAAATTAATAATAAAAATAAATAAATAAAAATAATTTAAATAAAAAATAAATCGGCAACTTGAAGTTTCACTAAAATTCTTTGACGTTTTGACGGCCTACCTTTAAAAACCTCTTAAATAACCTATTATAGACAATAACAGATATTCATCTTCTGGCGCATAGACAGTCACAATTTCCTATAGTATGAAATATAGCCATTGCTCAAGTCAGCATTGCTAAAAATCTGAGATGTATATTACTAAGTGCAGTATTATTTATATAGAGTAAACTGAATAGTATGGGCCATGGTATTGAATTACTTATGGTTCAAGAGACTCTTTAGATGCACAGTATAAAGACAACTTGAGTTCAAGTTTGAATTGAGTGTAACTCTTCAATAAGACTACAACTGAGAAAGGGAACAGCATATCATGGGAAAGAAAGTGTGAAGGCTATTTACAAAGGAAATATAAGGAAATATAAAATGCTTACGCATTAATGCATTTTAAAAAATACAAATTTAAGAAATGGAAAAAAACTATTCAAATTTTGCCAAATATATAGATAGCTGGTAAATCAAAATGAATAATGTTAACAATTTTGCCAAATATATAGATCAATGGAAAATCAAAGTGAATAGTGAATAATAATAATATCATTTATATGTTTCATTAATTCTCGAAACATGAAATTACTAATTATAACACTACAAACAGCCATGTAATAAATAAGATATTTAATAACAAATATAATAGTTAACTAGGAAATTAAAATTGGTGGTTTTGGGAGTGGTACTATCAAGTAGTGTTTTTATGTTAAGTGGCTATATACCAAACCACTATCACCATCATCAGTGGTAGTATTAAAGATGCTTTTTAAGTGACTCGGTTGTTAATATATGTGGCAAAGACAAGCCAAATCAGTCACTCGTCGCAAATCGTGTTTCAAATGGCAAAAACATGTTGGAATGTCAAATTTTTAAAAATCTATTTTATTGCACTAAACTAACCTTTATATATCTATACATCATTCTATACTGTTATTTTCCCCATTTTCAATGTTAAAACAATACTTTTTAAGGATTAGAAGGCTGATTTCTCATATATTGTTCTTTAAACAGCTGTATGTTTAAACGCTTGTAACTTCATAAGGAAATGTCCGATTTGAATTATTTTTTTACTATTTTATAGCTATTAATTTACTCTCTAACACTGTATTAATAACTCAAAATCGATTTTTGAGAAGCGTGACTGGTTTGGCTTGTCTTTGCCACATATGCTGGTAGATGGTTATTGTTAAATGGCTTATTTAAGGTGTACTGTAGAGGAAGATGTATAAGGGAAAATGTAGGTTGAATGTAGGTCTTAGCTGGCTAAAAAAAAATATCAAACTAGAAATCGGCTTAAATTCATCTAAGTCAGATTTATTAGTATTGCTTAGCTTAGAAATTGCTTTAACATTAAAATGTTGATTGTACACGACATGAGCCATCTAAGACAATTTTTAAGCTAAGATGGTCTGATATTTGCTTAGACATTTTAACTTTTTTACTTACCTGTACGACATTTGCTAAGTTGAGATTGATAAATCTCAGGCCAGTTCAATTAGAAGTCCACCCAACTAAAAATAAACCCAGTGACCTAATCGAAGTCTAGTGTAATTGAAATATTTAGAGCTACAACAAGAAAACTCTCTACCTCCTACAGTAGGTTTTACCTACAAAAAAGACACTAATTCTTAAAATTAGAAGTCTACCAAACTTAAAAAATAAACCCACCTATATAGTGTAAGTGAAATATTCAGAGACTAAAGCCTACCTCAGATAAACTCTCTACACTTGTGGCCTGCTCCGACATGTCTCCAAAAATTATGAACTATATAAACAATATCTTCTGGATCAATAAGCAATACTGTCAAATATAGGTCACTAAAATAGATGTCAAATGGGACGCTAAAGTATTAAAAAAGAAAACCACCATCTAAGGTCACGGAAACATCCTACAAGCCACTTAAGGGTATTAAAGGCCTGTCCAGACTATCAAATTTTATTTGACAAAAACATGTGATATGCCTAAATATGGTCATGATGACATCACATCATAACCATATATAGGCACATCATGACTATATATGGACATCTGGATGGAGCTTAATATAGAGCAAGATAAATCTTTGCTAGCATATCAATAATAATGTCACCGATTAATTTGTCATTAAGTTGTGATGACGCTCCCTTTAACACCCACTTCTTATGACTGGTCAAGGTTAAGGAATTATTGAGTCGGTCTGTATTTGCTCCACCCAATTTTTTTTCTTTCTATTAATAAATATCATGTAATAATAAAAACTTCCATCCTGAACAACTTGGGAATAAACTAAGGTTCAAAATTATCATTAGGGAGAATTTTTATCCCCTAAGATACCAATAAATTGCTCCAAGTATAATTTGGAAGGCTTAACATATTATACTAAAATACAATAATTTTATGTATTCCACAAAGACAATTTAGTTAGCAAAATTGCTAATTTATAGATATTTTGGAGATAGGTATTTTACATCATTGCTGTCACTGGATGTATTGGATACTACTATTCTATTTATTATTATTATTAAATGACAGTCCACAATTATATAAAACTACCGTACTGTATTTGCTTGGTCAAATCCAGAAGAAATGGAATAAACCGTAATGGAATACCTCACAGACATGTTCACAAAAACAAGGAACTTATAATAAGGCAAGTACAAAGTAATATTCCAATAACTATGTATTAATTAAATGCCTGTCTACAATGTCAGTAAATGATTCCACATAGTATTTCGTAGAAATACTAATCGGTCCAAAATTAAATAGTGCGAGAAGCTTGGCCCTTCACAGAAAAATGGAATAACCCACAACGTATCCTTTTCTTCAGATGTAAGCCACTTATCTAAAGAAAGATTAATATCAGATAAATCTTATGAACAATGACGGTAGTGCTAACGCCTACATTGTGAAGGATATTATATATAGACATGCAAGGGAGTTTAAAGGCTCAGGATTGTGATTGAAATTTCAAAGTATTTCACCTCAACAATTCAAAGTAAATACCTGCCTGATGATTAGTAATTAACTCGCATTTAAACAATTTTACAATATTTAGAGTTTATTGTTAGTTCTATAATATGAAATATTTGAAGTTTTTGAAAAGTTTGTATGGCGAGTATTAATAACAAAATCATTATAATGGTACATTATCTGCAATTTATTTTCTGTAATTTTTACGACACAATTCTATTATTGTGGGTGACCTTTGTTGCTGTTGGATTTTGGTTAAATAAATAAAAAATCAATCGGAGAAACATTTTTATTTCTGCCGGGGAATACTATAAAGTATAGGTAGCAGCAAAGTAGCAGTAGCTATAACACCACATATCCAGATAATATCAACATAATAACACAAACGAAAAACAAAATAATAAACATAACAATATTTCATTGAAATTATGTCATTTATACTGTGTCCAATTAAAATCAAAGTGTTTTTGGTATATTTGCAATACATATGACAACAAAGGTCCCTTCAAGACTTAATAAAATTAAGATAGATAGATATTTATAATGTAGAAATACAGATGAAAACTCTACTGGAGAATACTGTAGGACATAGTGGGCAAAGTGCGGTCCGCAGGACACATGGGGCCTGACAGTGATTTTGCTGTGTGTGTGTGTGTGTTTTTGGAAGCACACTGAAAACATCAATGTTTGTAAATCAAAAATTCAATTTGACCCTCCGACCTATTTTTAGGCCCGACCTTTCTAAAGTGCTATTTGCAAAGTCTTACCCTTGGTTGCCGATGGCTATCAGGACCAGGTGCCGGCACAACATACTCACTAGGGAAGCTCCCAGTTTTCCCATTCACCATTCCATAAAGCCAATCTAAACAAGACAAATATTGTAGTTTACAAAACAATAATAAAAATATCAAAAAATATCAATTATCACTTCAATAGCAGTTAAATAATGCAAGGCTGGGTAAACACAGTCAAACAGGATTACAGTAGATATGGAAAAGTTGAAACACTTTTAGAACAATGATATTTTTGTGACGCAATCTTTCATCAAAATAGCATTTACAGTTCGATTCCCACCCGAATCACTTGCAAATTTTTTGGCAAGTATTTGGGAATGTACCAAGTATTCAATGCAATAACATGTCGGGTAGGGTGTAACATTACACCTATGATAATTAAAATATTGTAATTCTACTTCGATATTTATCTAGAATCCATAACAATTAATGAATGTATAAGCAATCTCTATATTGAAATATACTTGAAATTTCACCAAAAAAATAACAAAAATTATTGTTTGCAATTTTGCCATAAAAGAGAAAATTTGTTATAAAGATTAGGGGATTTGATGACACGAAAGTTATAATATATACTGTAATCTTGCATATTATAAGAAATAGATTTCAAAGAACAGAGATATATTTATATATTTACATCAGTACATCAACCCATAAAATCATAAAATATATAAGAAATTATTATAAAAAGAAATTGGTATTATATTGGTTCATTCTGGCAAGTATTCACGAAATAGACTATAACTGCAGAAGTTAAATGGGGATTCAAAAAAGAAAACAACACAAGCTCAGGGTTACGAATGTTGATATCACTTTCAGAGGAATAAGTAGGCAAAAATTTTAGATAGAAATGCAGTGATTGAGATATAATTAGGTGTTGTAATCAGCCAATTAAATAAAGTTCCTTGAAAATACAAGGTATCAAAGTAAGGAAGAAAGCATGCACAAATAAAACCAACTGAAGACAATAATACCTCACACCATAGAAAGTATGCTGTAGTATACAACCATATATCTTACCATACGTAAATATACTCAAAAACCAGCTAGCACCAAAAGAGAAAAGCAATCATTAAGCTACAGTATGTCAAAACAAATAAAATGTGTACAGCAAAGTAGAAAATCTATATTAGTGATATTTAACCAAATTATTATACTATAAATAGAGCTACAGAAATTATTGTTTCAAGTGTTTAAGTATAATATAATTATAAAACAGGTCTATATACCAACAACACCGTCACTGATAGCAAGAGATGGACACAGAGTAGGGAAGGGGTGGAATATGTTGAGAAGGTTCTCTCCCTTACTTTCACTGCATTCTTTACTGAAAGTATATTAGAGGAACTGTATACCTCTCCCCAACATTGCCCACCCCTGGTGGTGAATTGGGTAGTACGCCAGGTGACAATCCCCTACTCTTTTCCAAAGAGTACACTGCGTTTATTAATGTGCGCATGGGAAATTTTGCACACGGGATCAATGGCCTAAATGTCTATTCTGAATGTTGTACGGTTGGCTGAAAACTTTCATTTCAGCCAACTGAAACACAAGTAGGGGCAGTGATGGGAATTGAGCCGGGGACCAAGAGGTCTCAATGGTTTAGCACATGCACAGTGGCTACCTCCAGTTTAGCCGACTGAGCCAGTTGCTCATTACCCCCTCATTAGGACAGAACATCATATATTCTATCAGCACAATACATAAAGCAATGCTAAGTAAGAGACACTTCAGTAAATAAGAAAACTAAAATTCTATTATTGACATTTAAATATATATTCAGCTGTATGCAATTTAAGGCTGAGTGTATACAACAATCTAAAACTAATAAACAATATCCCATTATGCAACAAATATAAAGCAACTTAGTGTTAATTCAAATTAAATAATGTGCCATTTCCAGCATATGCAGCCACCTTGTTTAATGAAATATTTTTGGAAGCCCTGTTTGCGTAACCTTAAGCGGTGTTCCATAGCTGCAAATGAAGGGCAACAGGTGTATGAAAAAAAATAAAGTATGTAATTAATTAATTGATTTAAATAAATGTTATGTTATACAAACATTAATTATTCCTTTCAGTCTAGATTAGATTTATAATATTGAAATTAAACTCTTAGGAAAGCATATGTTATAGACCATTTCGCAAAATTTGAAATGAAAGTTTCCGATAACCTATCAACTACGACTGGGGACTTCAAGAGGGCTACGCACTTCGCACTACGTAGTTACCAGTGTGCGCGCGGCGCTCTATTTGACACTACCTAGCTGCTCAGGCTAGGCTAGGCCATGCTGGAAGTCCTCAGTGAGTTGCGAGATGTTGGTGGCACTGTTTCAAAATAAACCTGATAAAATGGTCTACAATCAGTGAGTTTCACCCTGATGTACAGTACTTCAATTTAAACTAAAGCACATATGGCATTATATGTGACTGGCTCTAGCAAACCCAGATGTTTGAAGGCAACATTCAAAATGGGATTTTTGGTATTGTTAGATTCTACATGAATTCTTCTTTAAAACAATGTTTATCTAATGGAAATTGGTTGAGTATTAGCAAAGTTATGAATACTTAATTCATTGGATATCAGCCATGTAGGGTTTAAGAAAACAACTGCCAAAGACTCCAAAATAAATGGTGTATTAAGATTTGTATTTTCATATACTTTTCAGTTCGATTTAGTCATTCAATTTTTGCAGAAATGTTCTTCAATATATCTTCTTTTATAAAATCCAAAAACCTGAAAATGTTAAATTCCGATTCTCAAATGTTTTTGGTGCTTGTGCAAAATTAGAAATTGCTACAAACAGCGGGTTTTGCCAGAGCCAGTCACATATTTTTATACTATATTCAACTCTAAATATAACTCTACAGAAAGATAATTATTAAGTTGACCAGTATTTTGAACTTAGGTATACCTGTTATTAAGTGTGACTAGAAAGCTGAAATTGAATGTAGTGTTACTTTTTTAGCCTACAGCACCAACTAGATTGAAAGCGTGGTTAAAAGATATACTGTCTGATAAAATATGGAAATACCCTAAAAAATTCATTAAAAAATTGAAAAGCCTTAAATCATCTTTAAAACAGTGGGGGCACCAGATACTTTTTGGCATGGGGTCAAAGGTACCCAAAAGCAGTCCACAGCAACTCAGGCTGACAATGGCTGGGGCTTCATGGGGGAGGTAAATTTTATGAAGGCCCCATTACATTCCAAGAAATAGTATTCTCAGATGGAAACTGCCGCTGCTTTAAAATAGACAGATCATAATTTATCATTTTCTCTGGTCGGCAGATTTTCCTCTACAAAAATTACCAACCAAATATAGGCATCTATGTCAAGAATAGAGAAACAGCATTTTTGGTAATTGGCAATCATAGTTTGAACTGTACATGCCCATATCCAGGGTCATAATTGTTTATGTCAATTGACCTTGATACAGGCATGCGCAGTTCAAACTACAAATTGGCTTATCAAGTTTATTAGCTAAACACAGACAGTATATCGTTGAAGCCGGTTTCACACTAAGCGAATTTATTCGCGCGAATCGAAAGCATCGATTCATGTGCATGCACATTCACATTTCTATCACTTCAGCAAATCAGTATTTCAAACTGTTTCTACTTTTTGCGAAACGAAAAAAATGTGCAACCAATAAGAGCTCAGGAAACGAACCGACAATTTTGGTTCATGCGAATAAATTTGCGTAGTGTAAAACCAGCTTAAAATTATTGAGGTTAGTCTGACCCGCAATACCTGAGTTTAAGCTTTGACTGGCACCTGCTAGCTTGATGACGTCACCCCTACGGAAGCTCAGGAGTGTCGATTCTTGAGTGACGTAGTCCTTTACTGCCCGCACGTGTTGCGAGTCTCGCTCCAGGTCGATAATGTAAGCCTCAATCATAGATTTAATCTGTGCGGCCTGAAATAAAATCACAATTAAAAGCTTTATCTGGTTGTTATATTACATGATTCAATTCATACATTTTATACAAATCTGAAATATCATACGACTTAATCGGTTGGAAGCGGTTGGCGCATCGGTTGTGGCTTGGACTCCCAACCTCGAGGTCGGGGGTTCGAAACTCTCGTTGTGAAAATCGCTTGTGTCCTTGGGCAAGGCACTTTATCTACAACGGTTGCCTCTCTCCACCCAGGAGTACAAGTGGGTACCTGGTAGGTTCGAACACAACTGCGCTGATTACTAGCTGCAATATTATGGAATTCTCCCCAGGGAGCTGAGTATGTGTTCCATATGTGTTTGATCCAATACCGGGGTAGTAATGTGAAGCGCTTAGAGGCATTGTGCATGAAGCACTATATAAGAGCGACATATTATTATTATTATTATTAATCCGGGCATTTACTACTGTACATTATACGACAGTCGTACAACCAATCCGATTCCGCTGTCTGTGAGCCCTAGACAATTGATATTGGCAGTCTGAATGGATCGCCATTAAAAATGATCCATTGCATACGGGTTGTGGCGTTGCGTTCCCCATACACTCGCAGAGGCTGACGGCCATCGGACGCAGTAAGTGCCTGGCTCTATATACTAAAGTAAATAAAAACTATTCACATTAGAAACCAAGGATCTCCACCTTTATGTGCACACACAAGTGACTACCTCTCATTTACCTGACTGAGCTATGATGCTCTCCTAATATTTTGAATATTGTTAGTATTGTATTAACTTACTCTTTTGGTGTAGAGTGGAATAACCATATCATTTGAAAGGTATATTCGAAGGGTTCCATGCTGGGTCACTTTAAGCTCAACTACCTCTGGATATCTGGAAAAGAATATTACAAAATAATAATCAGCCCGAACCAAACGTTTAAACACTATCTTATCTTTCAGAGGCTCATATTGAAAAGGTAAACGAAAAAATGAGTATGGGTAAAGACATCATGTCCAAGCTTGTACCAGCTGTGGTTCTGGTATTGGTACTGGTGGTACCGGTATTGGTGCATGTATTAGCCATTATCTTTGTCCAAAGCCAGAGATGTCCGAAAGGGGGGGGGGGAAGAAAATGGAGGTTTTTTACCCCCCTCCCCTTGGAAAGACCTATCTCTGCTAGAAAGCTGACTACTGTTCTTATTGCAAACTGGGCAATGCAGCACAGCATATTTACAAACTTAATTATATAATAATAAAAAATATAAACTCACTTAAATGATTCTAGAATAACCAGTTGATCTTTTGTGGGTTCATACTCTCTGTGAACCAGTCGCACTCCAGTATGACTGACACCGAGGAGCTCCACTTTGGGGTTCTTACGTCCACCCTAGCAAGAAAATTGGAGTGCTGGTAATAGCAAGGGTGCACATAGTGTATGTGTCAAGAAAAACTTACTGTACAACATGCTGATGATCATTAAACATAATGATGATAATCATGATGTTGGTGATGATGAAGTTACTGATGATGTAGATGATGATGATGACATTGATAGTGATTCTGATAATGTTATTGATAATAATGATGAAGTTGTAGATGATGTTGAGGATGATGATGTTGAAGTTAATGATGATTATGATGTCGATCATGATGATTATGATGTTGACGATAATGCTGCTGATGACGTTGCTGATGATGAAGATTTTCAATGTTAAATGTTCAATGTTTATTTCCACAATTCAATACCATTCAATACGAAGGTATAACAAATCATCACATGATCGTGAAAATTATGTTGATGATGCTGTTGATGATGATAGCGATGAGACGTATAGCAAAAGAACTAACTACCAATCAGAAACATACCGTGACTGGAAAGAATCTTGTGAAGTATAGAGGAAGGGTCTGTGCAATGGATAACACTTCCTTCTTAACACTTGATTTGTGTTGTAACACAGTTTTCTCTTTCAAATTCTGGACTGTAATAGAATTCTTGTCTGGAGAATGAAACAGTATTACAAAATTAATGTGATGAAATTAAAAGCATAAAAACGAGATATAAAAATGATAAAACAACATATATTAGAAATTCTGATTAAAACGGAATGATGTATGGTAATATATGTTTGCTTACCAAACAGCAATTGCATACGCATCTTATCTTTCTTACTCAATCGAATACAGCTGTTGGACATGACATCCGAAACCACCTGCACAAACAGGAGATCAATAATCATGGGACTCTCTAGCTTCTCACCTGGACAGAACACCTGCAAAGAAAAACAAATGATGATGTCATTCTGTGCATTACAAAGGACCTTTCAGCTAAGCCCAGACCCTTGGACACTTGCTAAGGTTCCACAAGACAATAGCGTAACTGTACGTAAACATGTGCCTGTATGGAACAACACATGTTGTTGGACATTCTGATTGGTTAGTTTTTAAGTTTGATTGACACTCCTGACAAGTCCGTTTAACATGTCTACAATACTTATCATATAGTTGTGCTATTCTCCTGCTACTAATTAAACAATAACAAAATACATTACTATAATTAAAGTAATAACAATTATAATTAATGTTTTAATTTTGTATTGGTGGAAATACATACTTAACTTAAACTTAACATAGTAATACACTATTTATAGTACAGATCACAAAATACAGCACCACAGGCAGTGCACTTTTGCCTGTGGTGCTGTCCCCAAAGTCAGAACTAAATCTAGTAGAAGATATAATTTTAGAGGTACTCAATTTTAGAATGCAGGGGGTAGGCAACTCACCATTCTTCTATTTTAACGGTTTTTTTATATTTTTGTGTTTTTGTTTTTTCTTGTGATTTCAATGTTTTATGTATACTGGACCCTCTGGAAAAAGAGTAACATTTTACTGAAGAGAGTATAAAGAACAAATAAATTAAATAAAAATAAATAAAAAAATCCAACTTACCTCCTTTCTTATGTTTAGCTGCCAGTTGATAAGACTGTACGTATAAAACGGCGCTTGACTGGAGAGTGGGAAAAGTGATGTTGTGGTTTCTTCTAAGAGTTCCAAACGTGGACTTGCATTCGTTGGAGATTTCTCTATCTACAGGAATAAAAAGTATATAAAACTAAAGTAATAAAAATAAGGCCTTTTTTTTTTAACTTTCGACTTTTATAAAAAGCATGATTATTTTGCATTTTATGAAATTATGAAGATGACTCAGACAAGTACATTTTTTTGTTAAGCCAATAATACAGTCACAATGTGCCTATATATGGTCATGATGTAATGTCATCATTACCATATTTAGGTATGTCACAAATTTTTAATTGTAATAATATATAATAGTCTGGACAGGCATTTATATCATATTTTATATTTATTATTACATTAAATATTAATGCTTGCGGAACAAGACGTAGATAGTTCTGAAAGGACTGTTGTTGGTTGAGGAATGTCTCATATTTCGATTGAGTTGCTTCAATCGTCTACAACAGTTCTTTTCAGAACTACCTACGTGGTGTATTGCAAGCATTAAATATATTATTACTTCACCATGCAAACCTTCAAACAATACTTTACATTAACATTATTTTATGTGATTGGTGTATTCCAGTAGACAGCTACACTGCATTTAACTTACCAGCTCTGAGCCCGATTTCACTAGATTGTGGGCATTTAGAAACATCGTAACCTTCTTAGCATCAGCTGTAGTCTTTGGCACTTTTTGTGGCTTTGATATGATGGTAGACTATTTCAAGAAAAGCAAACGTACATAAAGCAAAAAACATGAAGCAGCTGCACAACACCAAAGCTTTGCTTCCAGTCAAAAAAAGACTTGACCTCAAGCCCTACACTAGTGTGTGGATTGTAGCGAGACTTAAGTACCATCTTGACTTTCCCTTACATAAATAATACCGCCATGCATAGGATAAAGCCTTACACACACTGTTACAAAACATAACTCATGAAGTATTAAAAAGCATCATTTTTAGCTATTTAATGAAAGCATGGAAATACAAAATTATGCTTTGCCAACATGATAGGAGGGAAGGTATGCGTATGTGTTTCCATGCACAATTTCTACAGAAGTTTAATGATAATTTGTGGCATTTTGTATATATATACTACTTGTTTAACGTGCCACTTCAGTTTTTAACTGCTGGTGATGGATGTATGTATTTTTATACCAAAAATAAATATAAATAAATAAACAAATACTGCGTATGAATAGCCTCAAGCAGAGTATAGAAACGGAAGAAAAAATCCATTTTACTTTGAAATGCTCCACACTCTCGTATGCCATGAAGCCCTGGAAGATTGGGAGACTATAGTGTTTTTAGCAAATTTCACGTTTGATATTTCTTTGCTGGTGCCGGTGGAAATGGAGAAGGATGGGGCGAGTGCTATGACCACCATCATATTGTGTGGGGAACAAATGAACAAAACAAATTTGGGTTCATACTGGTCTCCTTCCTTTCTATACTCTTTGCCTATAGACATAAAATGACATTGTATATGAGACCAAAGCTAAATAGCATGCACACTGCACAGGCTTCTTTTTTTGCCAACACCGACATATTCGGTGTTCTGTTACAGGAAAGGGGAGGGGGGCGCAAAATTGGGGTTGATTAGGACAACACTGCTGTATGGGGTCTGGGCGCTTTCCCCGCGAAAGTTTTGTTTTCTGACGACCGACAATAATCTGACGTGTTTTGCGGCAAGCACTTATTTCTTTTCCCTTCCTTCTTTTATTTTCTCTTCTTTTTACTTTCCAAAAAGGGGTGCCTGGGCTGGCCCCCCTTCTCTAAATCCACCCCTGTAGAGGGGGGCCCAGGGAGGGACTTTCACAGATAGAGAATCTAGACTACGTTGGGGCTGAGGTAGGTAAATTTATGATTATGGCACTTCTAAATGGACGGAAATGGTACTCTCAGACCGAGATTTCATTAAAATTTTTCTGTTCCCCATTTTTATATAATTTTTGAAAAATTTTTTTTTGGGGGGGGGGGAACATTTTATAAAATATTCATATGAACTCATTTCAGACAACAAAATATAACATTACACAGACAATATTCTTACATATGTGAGCTCAATATCTAGTACATTACAAAATTATACAAAATTCAGGCAGAATACCTACCTCTTTTTTAGGTAAAAGTCCTTTGGACATCAAAATATTTAGTGCTTCAGATCGAGCATCAGTAGAAGATTCTTTTTCTACCTCAGGCACAGAGTCTAGTGGTGGAGGAGGAGGTGGTGGTGGTGGGGGAGGTCCTGGTCTTGATAAACCAACAGGCAGTACTGGTGGGGGAGGTGGTGGAGGAAGTGGTGTTTGCACATTTGATGGTTTTACAGGAAAGGTTTTTACAGGAGATGTTTTTACAGGGGATGATTTGACAGGCTCTTGGTTTCTCTTGTCAAAATCAATTCCACGGCTGCGGAGTTTTTCAAGAGCCAAAGTATGATCATCAATTTTCTTCTGGAAGGATGATCCTCTTGACAACTTAGGCTTTGGCTTAGCTGCTGGTTTTGGAGGTGGGAACTTTGTTTCTCCATTCTCCCGCCTTTGCTGCATTTTATTTGCACGCTCTTTTATTAAATCAAAGTGTGACTGAGAGTCTTGTTCTGAAGGAGCACTTTTAATTGTGCTTTTTATCTCTGAAGAGGTTGATTTGACAGGTTTCAATCCACTCACACCAGCTCCATCACCGCCACGTGGTGGCCAGACAACCTTGCCAACCCGTATGGTTCTTGCTCGGTCATCATCAAGATCGACAACTTTACCTCTCTTCAGAAGCAGCATCTTCTCCTCATTTATAGGTGGTGGAGGTGGAATGCCAGGCGGAATCTGCATCTGCTCTGCTTGAGGAGAAACCTGTGGTGAGCCAGAGCTGGTAGGAGACACCAGAACATCAGTGTACTCTGGGGTAGTGTCTGTCTTGATGTTCACAACCGTCCTATTGAACTGTAACTTCTTGTTCTGGTGTTTTGATGTTTCCTGGGAGTTGGCCATAGCACTCTTGAGCTTGTGACCAGAGGTGCTAGGCCCAGAGCTACTGGAACCTGTTGCCTGTTGTCCCATCATAGTCTGTAGCATCATTTGCTGTTGTTGAATTTGCTGCTGTTGAGCCTAGAAGAATGCAAGACTAACATTAATTACAATAAAAGGAATTCAAAGAGTGTTTTACAATCACTGTTTGTTATAGATACACAGATATTTACATTATACCAAAAGAATAACCTAAGCTGTGGATTGAGGATTGGATTGGATTTCTCTGATGTGATACACACTAAGGTTAACCCAGGAAATTCTTAAGGCTTCTTTCCAGTAGGGTCCTTCTGGTGATGAGTTGGGAAGTACATTGGGAGACAATTAACTACTCTTTTCTGAAGAGTGTGCTGTGACCTTTAACATGCACATGTGCACTGTTGCACACAGGACCAATGGCTTAACGTCGCATCCGAAAGATGGAGCACTTTTGAAAACTTGCTTTTCAGCCTAACTGAAACGCAAGAGCAGCTAAGGGAACTGAACTAACACCAAGAGATCTCCACGGTTCAGTGCACACACCATACTACTTTGGTTTAAGGGAGTTTTACAACAAGCAATCAACAGTTACTTACTGCTATGGTTTGCTGGTTGAGTACAGACTGTTGCTGCATCATCTGTTGCATAGCTTGGGTTGAGGGGTCAATAAATGGTTGGGTCATTACAGGTTGTGGAGCCATTGCAGGTGCCATTGGAACTGTTAAGGAAATATTCCTAAAGTAAATTTATGCTATATGATATTCAGTGGTGGCACCAGATATTTGCTGACAAGGGGTCCGACATGTCCGACGGAGAGGTTCGAGCCAAGGGGCCAATGAAGCCTCGGTCGACAGCCTGGAATAAAAACTCCCTTTCAGGGTTCACTGGGGGAGTTTATTGCTTATTATGGTCCAAAAGGTGCTTTTAAACCACAATATTAGGGATTGGCACTCAAAATGACATTTAGATAGGCAAATTATTATTCTTCTTATTTTTGATCCAACGATTTAGTCGTGCGTCAAACGAAAGGGGGTGCAGGCCTGTCGGATAGGGGATAAATGCCTCCCAGCCCCCTGCTGGCACCACCAGCAGGAAGAAACCAAACAGTAATAACACTATAAAGGAATGCTAATAGGCAAATATTGAGAAAAGAATGAACACAAAGAGCATCTGGAATACCAGAATGAGAAAAACATGCTGAAGAACAAAAGGACAATTTTAGATAATTAAGCTTAAAAATTTTGAAATGAGTGTGAAAAATAAAGGTAACCAGTTGTGGCTGTGTTTAAAACTCCTTCCAGACTATCACATTTTGTTTGACAAAAACATGTGATATGCCTAAATATGGTCATGATGACATCCGATCATGACCATATATAGGCACATCATGACCATATATTGGCATACAACAGGTTTTTTTCAAAGAAAATTTTATAATCTAGACAGAGCACTACAATTTAAATGTAGAAAAGGAAACTTCTAAAAATCTTCCAGGCATAGCTTCCTTGTGGTAGGGTGCAAACTCTTCTGTTGTTGGAGTACTATATACACTATCATCATGTGCATGTGCATTTGTGTGTATAGAGGGGTTCTCTCAAATATAATTTTACACTGTTACAGTTTCATTGTTGTTGTAGCAGCATCAATAAAATATTAAATAGCTTCACAACTGTAATCAGGTTCACACTAGAGCGATTTTGATGACATGCCAAATATAATCACAATGACATCACATCATGACCATATATAGGCACATCACGACCATATATGGGCATACAACAGCTTTTTGTCAAAGAATATAATCTAAACAGAGTACTAGAATGTAAATGTAGAAATTGATGCATGTATGGTATTGTTGCGAACAAAGCCGTATTCACAAGCAGTATTCAACCCATTGGTGGATCTACTTTTGTATATTATACTAAACCAATTATAATAATTAATGCATTACCTTGCATTTGGTAAGGATTCATTGTTGGCATGGCGGTATAGCCTAAAAATAGTGTTAAGAGATTAAAAAAAAAACATATCAGAGGTGCATACATTAATGGACTTTTCCAGAGTATCAATCAACTTAACAACCGACCAATCAGAACATAGGGCCAGGAATATGGGTGTGTCTAACAGTATGTGTTGTCCTACAAAGGTCAACATATGTTGACCTTTTCTAAAAAGGTCAACACACGTATGTTTACACACTGTTGTTTTGTTGGGACCTTTGAACAATATCTAAAAGAGGTGGGGCTTATCGGAAAAGTCCATTAGAGATTTAAACCGGTGCTCAGTAGGGTAGTGCTTAGAGAACAGATGAAAACATTTAATAGTGCTTCCCATAATTCAAAAAGATTACTAACACTACGTGCTGTGTAGGCTGGAATCACATGCTATAAAGTTCACTGTTGTAAATGATACATCTTGAACCATTCCCAAATACCCCCAGCCACCCCTCTTTCCTTCCTAACCTACCTTGCATTGCTGGTACAGCTGTTGGCATCATACCGGGCACCATAGTCGGAACCATCCCAGGATTCATAGCCATGGTTGGCTGGGCAGCCATGTTGAACATTGCGGGCTGTTGTGGGACTGTTGAATAAAAACAATGAAACGTTAATTTTTCATAGGCATGTAGACCTCTTAGCCTACAAATAATCTTCCAAGAAAATTGTTATTGGCTTTAGAAGTTTACCTTGATACATAGGTGTTTGCATATATCCTGGAGGTCCCTTTCCACCCCCTCTCAGGCTTTTCTCCATGAGGAGTGGATTGAATAAATCCCCAGTTTCAAGAACAGGATTAAAAACATCATCAACATAATTATCCAGCTGGTCCCCAGTTCCATTGAATGGTATTGGTACACTCCGGATCTTCCCTCCCACCGACATAGCAGATTTTGCAGCGGAAGAATGCATACTTTCAGCGTCGCTAGATGAATTATCTTGCCGTGTTTCCACAATTGTGGGCAAGTTACGCTGATTTGTTGCATACCCCATCTGATATGGTTGAACGACTTCATCATCAATGTCATAATCGGGGTAGGGTGTTTCTGGGACACTTGGCACACTGATTTCTGATGGGGCGCGACCATTCCATTTGGCTGCTGGTTGGTAGTTGGGCATGACGGTGTCACCTTCAAGTAGGGCATCAATATCAACACCAGATCTGTGAATCATTTAGACAAAATGCTGATCAATAGAGAAATTCTCACTACTTAAGTACTTAATAAATTTACTTTATAGTACAGTACTAGCTGTGCTCTATAGAGTTCGAAGAGTAGTGAAAAAATAACTGAATAAAATAATATAAATAAAAATATACAGACAGAGCTCCGACTTCAAATGCAGGCGAGTGCAACATCTCTAGCCTTTGTGTTTGGGCAAAATGCACATTGAAAGTTTTAAACTCTCACCTTGAGTCTTACAAAAAATGAATTTGTATTAATATCATTTTTTTAATATTCATTTCATAGCCAACCTTGTGTTTGTCATTGTCTTTCTTTGCACTGGATGCATCTTGATAGTTTCTGATGACACCAAGAAATTTGACTCCTGGACTGGAAGATCTGGTGGCAGCTCCATCTCGCCAATGAGATCCAAGACATAGTCAAATCCGGAGAGCTCATAGCGTCCTGTGCCTTCTTGTAGTTGTAGAGACCAGCCTTGCAGGTTCTTCTCATTTTTTCTGTAATTAGATGAACAGCTTAGATTTTCGGTGAACATATGAATATCGTAGAGGGCAGTATATTAACCTGTTCACTTGTAGAAAATTTGGTTTTTTTTTCCCATCATGACCTAGCTAGGGCTCAGATGCAACTATCTGATAGGCATCAGGGGTTGGATCTAGAATGAATATCAGTTAAAGGGACAGCTGAGACAAGCCTAGGCTTCTAAACTGGTCCCTCACCATTGCATTCACTGTTTTGTTGTCATTGGTGAAATAAATTTCGTGTTGATTGATTGACTGATTGATTTATTGATTGATTGAATATTCTGCTGGGAGAGGGTGCAAAGCTGCAATGCAGTCTATAGTCTGAGTGGGGAGGGTTGAGTATGTACCCTTCGCCATTCTGAGAGTCTCAGCAACTTCAGTTCTATTAATCTTTTATCTAAAAATTTCACAGAGAAGCGAGTGTCTCTTCTGCCAACACCCAGATCTTCTACTGGGCATACAAATGGGATGACAGATGGTGGAATAGAAACAAAATATGAAATCTGCATAGACATACAGTTGTATACTATTCATCCAATATGCCACCTACACACACATACTGTACAGTACAGTAGGTCTATTCATAGTTTTTACGCTGGCTTCCAGGCGGTTGGAAGGTACAGAGCACAAGACTTACCTCGCCCGCAGAGCTGCAGCCACAATCTCTTCACCTGTCGTCCAAGAATCCACTTGTACGGTCATCTCTTGACCGTCCATGAACGCCAACTTCAGAGCCATTCTGGAACGCAGACGATGAGCTTTCCACTCAAGGAGTGTCGATGGGTATGTACGAGGAACACCAAAATCGAGGGCGTATGGGTTAATGAAAAGAAGCTTGTGTTGGCAGTAGGACTTGTAACCATTATAGGCATGATCAGAAACATACCTACAAATAATAAATTCAATGTATTGTAGAAAATTATGCAAATTTTAATGGATCTAAAAAAAGTTCACTTGGCAGTTATAAGATGAACAATGCTTATAAACCAAGTCTTGAGGCCATGAAGTGGAGTTTTTTTAGCCATGAGAAAAAGTCCTACTGTGACAGAACACAGAGCAGTGCAACTGAGAGGGGGCAGAGGGGAAAGATCCCCAGGGCCTAAGCTTACCAGGGAGCCCATATAAATTGCAGGTAGCAATTTTTTTTTCAATATTTCTTCAAAAATAATAATTACTATCATGGGCCCTCAATAATGGCATGGGTCCCCTAATAATGGGCCCCTCCAGACTGACAAGGCCCCCATAAAAATCTGTTTGCACCTTCAGCGCAATCTTTTCCACACCAACCATTTCCCCTCTTCCTGATTCCTCTCAGCAGCCCTGACCCTGAGATTAGTAGGCAAGCATCTTAACCACTAATTTATTCAAATCCCCTCTACAAATTCAAGGGTAATGTGACTTTCACTCTACCATTTCACATTACTTTCTAAAAACGTGGGCACACCTACGTCCTCTCCCCATTACTTACTTTAATAGATACTTGTACAGTTTCTTGGAGGGAGGCACGCAGCCAAGCAAATTAGCCATTAGGAGCCAACCTCTTTCATTCTCTGCCTCAGATACATTGCCAAATGTTTGGTTGCACAACTGACTATAAATTTCATCTCGGAGCTTCGGAAAACTCAAACCCTAGACCAAATATAAAGAAATATATGATGATAATCAAAAAGGAGAAAATGCAGAAAAATTTTTTAAATAATAATATTTTATTCATTATCATTAAGAATCCAGAATTTTTCTTTAAATCTTGGATTTTTTAAAAAAATTACTGTGATTGTAATAAAGTAATGAAGAAAGATGGGCAGAGTGTTGGTGTAGGTAGAAATGATAGTAAATAAAATGATTTTGTTGAAAATGATAATGAAGATAAAAATTATAATCATCTGAGACAACATACCTCCTGTACAATATAGTTTCCATAAATCGTTGCCGTATTTTTCTCCATCTGTTGGTCCCCCATAAATCTTTGAATCAGCTTGAATATTGCAAGCGCTTTGATCTCCTCCTCGTCATTTAGGTTATGGAATGGGGATGCGATCGGATGACTCAAAACACCTAATTCAGAATTCTGTAGCCAAAATATTAATCAGTTAATACACCGTAACAGTGAGTGCGGTTTGCTAAATAATTTTTTATTGGCAATCCGCAGAGTGTGCCATTGACAACCAGCAGAGACATCATGATGCAAAGTGCTCACAGGAGAGCGAAGGTTGGATTCATCGGTCAAAGTTCATACAACGATGCAGTGTCTACCCAACTCAAGGTGAACAAGTTAAATCTCTACCTAATACTACTACAAACAACACCTTAGAATACCGATTGAAAATTATACCTATCTAATCTGATCTGATCTTAATCAAGTAAAAATCTGCAGAGTAAAGCAGAAAGAAAATTTGAAGAAAAGCCTTTTTCTGCAGATGTAAAACCTAGTGCCTTACCCGAAAGTAAATGTTGACATATTTAGAAAAGGGAAACTGGTTGATATCCAATGGGAAACTGATCATTTGCTGAGTTTGAGCAACTTTCCCGACAACCTTGACTACATTTCTTTCCGTGTGTGGTTGATTCCACTCTGAAAATTTAAAATATGAATTGCCTTAGAATGACGAAATGTAGCATTGTACAATAGCTCATGAACTATAAAATGAGGAAAAAATACACAATATCTTATACATCTAAGAGTCAATATCATGGTTTCTTAGAATTGAGATTGAAGTATGATTATGTGATGTTGAACATAATGATGATGATGATGTATATGATGTCTGTGATGTTTTTCATGATGATGATGTTGGTGATGATGATGAGGAAGTTGATACTGATGTTAATGTTGATAGTGATGATGATTATGTTAATGGTGATGATAATAGTTATGATGAAAAAGCATCAGTGAATAAACAGAATTGAACATACCACTGGTTTTATTTAGCACTAATGAAAGGTCATAAGGTATATCGAGGCGAGACACATCAATTGGTGATGAGGACTTTGGCATAGAGGGTGCTGTTCGCTTTGTTTGCTGGATGGCATTATGCTTTGTCTTCACTTGTATTAGCTTGATAAAAAATATAAATTAATTAAAGATTATGCCTGTGAAAAACATATTAAAACACTGAATTTTCTTATTTAAAGAGTTTCTGCTAGCATATTTGAAGTTTATCAGTCCATTTGATAGTAGAATATATTTAGTAAACCAGGAAAAAGTGAAATCACATTCACTGTTCTCTGAGAAAAATATATATACTTACAGTATTAAAATTTAAGAAGTAATGTGAAGGTACGAAAATGATTATGAAAACCTTAGGTAATTTAGTGAGAAAACATTCAATCTACAAACATACCATTCTGTACTTCTTTCGCTGTTGATATCCTCTATACGCCGCTTGCAAACAGATAATACTGCGGATTATCAACTTGAATTTCCTACGTGCTTGCCAACCTCTAAACCGTGCTTGTATCTCTATTGCAGATTTTCTCTGCTTTTGGAATAGCTTGCGCATCAGAAAGCCTTTTGTATAACGTTGAATCACAAGTGTTGCATTTTTAACGATTGCAGATCGTCGATATTCAAGATCACTTTCAAGTCGCTCTCTCAAGAACACCTACCAGGAAGAATTAGGATGTCATTTATGCATATATTTCTAAGATGCTATAAGGTATGGAGGTATGTAACACATGAGTTTTATTGGAATTTTATTCAAGTAGGTGTATAACAGGTTTTGATGTATACATAGGAGTTTTACAGGTTTTAAATTAACATAGTTGTTTTCACACCTGTTTAAGTAACCCAGAGAGTCTTTAACAGCTGGTTAAGAGTAACACAATTTTTCACACATATTTAAATAACACAACAGGTGTTTCAAAGTATCACACACATTTCGCAGGTGGTCAAGTAAAACAGGTGTTTCACAGCTGTTTAAGTAACATGTGTGTTTAACAGGTGTTTGAAAAACACATGTGTTTCACAGTATCACATGTGTTGCACAGGTTGTCAAGTAAAACAGGTGTTTCACAGCTGTTGAAGTAACACATGTGTGTTTAACAGGTGTTTGAATAACACAGGTGTTGTACAGTATCACATGTGTTTAACAGGTTGTCAAGTGAAACAGGTGTTCACAGCTGTTTAATAATAAATGTGTTTAACAGCTGCTTAAATAACACAGGTGTTTAAGTAAGTAAGGTGTTTCACATATGTTTAAGTAGCACAGTCGAGTCACAAGTGTTATATTATCTAACCGGTAAGCAACAGCATTATACTTTACCTTTTTGGAACCGATTTGGTAGTCTCTTGCAAATGATTCACCAGCTGTGTTTAGGATCTGTATACATAACTCAGACTTAGGTACCCGAAGTGAAAGCTGACCAACAAGGAACCTATACCTGTACATAAAAACATAATATAATAATTGATCCTCACTCTACAAAAGATAACATGATTCACATTCACAAAGCAAAGAAAATACAAATGAGAGAGAGAACTGATATAAAGTGAGAGTGAATGGAAAGGGGATGGAAAAAATTAATTTGTTTGAAAGCAGGTATAATTACTAGGCTGCACAGTTTATATCGTATATTCCTATGCATAAGACAAAGCTCAAATAGCAAATTGCAATCGAAAAACAGGGGGTCAACTTATACACACAACTAATGTTTATCATATGTGTGGATAGTCTGTAATATGCAAATTTGAAACTGAATGAAGCTATTTTTAGTATGAATGAACTCAATTAATGCGTGAAAATAAGATTTTGATGAATATTTAAAAGAACATGAAATGGTATTATTTGGAAGATTGGCCCTACATTTGGAACCATTTTTATCCAGCTAGATGCAGTATCAAGAGCATAAAAGGCAGCAAAAGTAGGAATTCTGACTATAAAGCAGGGGGTCATCCTTTAAACGCCAGACATAAAAAATTGTCAAATCTTCTCAAACTCGGTAGGTCGTCTTATGTGCGGTTTGCCTCATACCCAAGTATATACAGAACGTACCTGTCAATGAAGGCCAGGAAAGTCATTCGTATTGGGTATCCCAATTTACGTATGCGAATTGTTTCTAGCATGCCAGAATAACGTAGCTGATCCATCACCAGTGAATTGTTGAAGCTCATCGGCAGTTTATCGTTGTTTGGCTTGATGCAACGGATGAAGAACGGGTTGCATCTATAAACAAATATAAACAAAACAGATTAATTATTATTTGTTCACAATTAAAAGATAAAAAAAAAATAATCCAAAATTTATTAAAAAGTCAAATATTAAATATATAAACGCTACAGTAATAGGATCTATACAGATCATACAAGGTTTTTCATGGGATACATAAATAAAAGTATGAATTTATTATACTGTAATTCAAAAACAGAGTAATAAAATACATAAAGTCATAATCAATTATGAGTATACTTGGTCATATTGTCCATGAGGTCCCCAAGTGATTCGTTAAATCTTGTTGCCACAGTCGAAGCTCTCATCTTCTTCATGGAGGTGAGACCTTGGGTCATCATAGCACGAGTCTCTTCTGATTTCCGCAAATTCTTGAACATCTTCGAAACAAGCTGATATGACAACAAAAACAGTTTTAATATTATTATTATTATTGTTATTATTATTATTATTATTATTATTATTATTATTATTGAATTTTTACTCTTTAACGCAATGTATTTTATCGTCCATTTTTACTAAATTTTATTCGTCTCTGCCATTTTTTATCTTGCCGATCTTTTACTTGTGTTTTGTTCACTCTTTTTTTTAAAAATAAGAACACTATGGAAGTAAGGATTCTATTTCCTTGTTTTCCTGTCATTGTATTTTTGTATTTACGAATACTGAATAAAATCAATCAATCAATCAAGCTGCTCTCTGTGAAATTCAGGTGGTAACTAACTATCAGAAAATACTTTAAAGCTGTTGGTCGGTCCTCCTGGTAACACATGAAACATAAGCATTTCAAAGAAGGCAGTATATTTTTCAGACACAGACAATGAATTTCCTCCCCTTGCACTGACCAACTCACTAGGGGTGACACAGCAATGTGGTACCTGTGACAGATTCAAGGGGGCCCATCCGGCCCGGGGCCTCCTATTTCTTTCAAAGCTAAAAAAAAAATTGAAAAAAAAAGAAAATTCTACTTAAATTTTGAGCCTAAGAGTGCCATTTTCCGGCCATCCAGAGGTGCCATAATCATAAATTTTCTTACCTCAGCCCCAACCAAGGTGGGGCTGAGGTAGTATAGAACCTCCATCTGTGAAAATCCCTCTCTGGGCCCCCTCTTTTCCAAATTCCAAGATCCACCACTGGGTACCACAGTTCCTCAAGAGCACAGCTAAGATTCCTGAATTACTTAACTAGCACTAATTATGTTACTCTAAACTTCACTATTGTCAAAAAATCTGATTATTAATGTATGTTTTTTTTTTATAAAATTATTTTTTTTTAATCATATATACCTGAGATTTGCTCTTTATCAGCATTTCTAAAACATCAGCACGCAGCATGTCACGATTTTTATCCAAGAATCCTTTGGCACTGTAAGTCACAAGACCCGCATAATGTTGGATACCGAACTCCATTTTTGACATTTTCGGCTTTTTGTAGCATTCATTACGGCGGTGGTTGTGATGACATTTCTCAATAAAGGATGAATCCATACCCTATGAATATTCATTAGGGAAGTTACATTAATAAAATAATAATTAGAAAGGTAATAAATTTATTATAAAATTAAAGAATAAAACATTTCGTACCCTGGGAAAACTACTTTCATCATCCAGAATATGGAATATTCCGATTGGACGTTTTCCTATCATGTCAAGGCACGGTTGGTTATCTTTGTATGCCACGTTAGTCCACTTAATGCGTTCACGAACATACTCCTCCTATACGAATACAAAATATGCGAATAATTTACAGTACCATACAGTAAAATAAAATTGGTCTGTATCAAAATGGTTAGAAGAATAAACTATAAAAAATTAAATAAATAATACATTTTTTAAATGATAAAATAATTATTAAAATAAATTTAAGAAACAATGATTAACAAACCTGTTCTAGATTAAAAATGTGACGGTTGAAGAAAAAGTGAAGGTTCTCATTTGCATAATTGATGCAAAGTTGCTCGAAACTATTGGTTTGAAAATCCTGAAATTAAAGAAATATTATTATAATTTTTTTCCTCCCCGACGAATTGTGGTTTTTCTCCCTGAATTGAAATTTTATATTTATATGTATTATGCCCTCTGCTCCTCTCAAATCTCCAAAAATAAGATATACATATATTTTTCTTTCTTAATTATATAAATTTAAAGCATTTATCAATCTCATTACTACATAGTTTAATTCATTAATAAAATTTTACTTTTATTTTCTCCACCACCTAAGATGGATTTGTCAAAATCATTTTGCTAAATGATAAAAACCAAATTTGTTTTTCTCATCTGATGACCTTAAAAAAAATAATGCAAAGCAAGGTAATAAACAAGTATCATCTAATCCAGAAAAATAATCAATTTATTTCATCAAAATAAAAATTCATATTTACCTCAAAGCCAAATATATCAAGGATAGCTATGGATGAAACCTTCTGTGGTCTGTTTACAACTTTATTTATATTCTGAATCAACCACGTAAAGAGCGTTGAGTACAACGATTTTCCAATAGCATCCCTAAAAGAACAATAATCAATAATCACTATCAATAACACAATAACATTATGAGCAAAGCACTGGAATTGATTTCTCCATTCACGATAACTGGGGCACATAATTAGAGATAGCGGTATACAATGTTATTACAAGTAAAATGATAAACAGGTGCATTGTGCACAACATTAAATTGTTAACAACAAAACAGATATATTACCTAAAGTACAGTAGCAATATATCTGTATATAAATATTAAAAATAATAGCTATACAAATCAATAATGTAGTAAATGGTATAATGGTTTCTGTTGTTATGAGGGCAATGATACAAGATAAAAAATTATCGTACTGCGTAAAATCAAGTTAACTTTAAAGTCAATCTTGGTCGTTCATGCGTATAAAATACACTTAACACATAAAAGAGCAATGATAGACGTAATAATAATAAATAATAAAGTAATGTACATACATATTATTATGGATATCAATAATTGGTACAGTATACTGGATTATGTTATTACAATTAAAATATCATATACACAAAATATTTATCATATAACAAAATACAAGGTTATTATATTGCACAAGAGCCTGCCAATGTGTGTGGATATTACTACATTATTAAATACAGCCAAGATAGATGTATATAATAATTGAAAACTACAGTTACAATAATACAGTATCAATAATGTGGGAGACAGCTTTCGATTGCATGACACAGTAGGACGTAGAATGTAATGACATCACTATTAGTTCTCCTCGTCGTGTGGATTCTAGGACGAAATTTGGCTGAATATACAGTACATTGCGAAAAGAACGTAGGACGATCATGCAAGAGTGAATCCGTTCTAGCGTTGCATTATCGCTCAAACCGAAAGCTTGGTAATAAGGTCATGGGTCACAAGTTGGGAGAAACTGCTTGCCGGAGGTTTGGTATACTGAGCATTGATAAAACATCTAATTGTATTTTGCTGTGGGTTTTGATACCCATGTGGGATAGGGCAGCTGATTTCAAAAAGACAATTAATGAAACAACAACAGAAAGTTAACTATTATGTTGGTATCTACCTTGCATCATTTGCTTGTTCACGGGTCAAAGGTGACATGATTCTTTCACCACCTGGTTCCTATGGAAACAAATTTATATATTAATGCTATTCGAACATAGGCCTTTACATGGGCTAGTCACAGAATGAATCATTGATGTATACAGTATATAAAAATAAATACAATGATCCATTTAAACAAGTTATCAACGTTTGCAGTTTGTCCTGCTACTTAAGCCGATTTTTCACTAGGCAAATTTGTTCGCGCGAATCAAAAGAGTCGTTCATTTCACTTCAGCAAAATCGGTAGTAAAAAAAATATGATTCGCACGAATAAATGTGCCTAGTGGATAACAGGCTTAACTAACTATGATGAGCAACAAATCGTACAGTCAGTGTGGATAATCATGAAAAATATAAAAGGTTCTTGCTCTTTGGCTATCACTTGCTGATGTCAATCCTTATAAATTATTACAATTAAATCTTTTCAATATAAAGCACTAAATTTTTAAATTTTATACTTAAAATGATTTTTCTTACTCTCATAAACTTCTGCGTCATTGCCTTCTCCAGTTTGTCCGACGACACCATAAGTAGTTGAGCCGATTTTCTGAGTTCCTGCACGTTTGATACACGCAACGATTCATCTCGACCGTGCTAGCAAAGTAAACAGCGATGGTAGAAATTGCACATTATAAATAGTTGATTAATAAAGATTATTATTAAATAAATAAATCAGTTCAACAACCTCTTCAATTACACAATACTTTCAATTTAATTTAATAATTTTCTAATAAACAAATAAATTCTTATACAATAGAACATGAATATTTATGATGCTATTTCATATGAATATTTATGAGGAAATATCTGTTTTATTGATACAAAGGCAATCATAGTTGAATAAACCAATCTGGAATTAGCGATATAATCCCCATGAAAAAAAAATATTCTTGTGAACATTACAATGCTTTCAATTTCACAATAAACCCAAAATTGAAACATGTCTAAAAGTCAATTTAACACGTTTGCTGGCAGGACGACAGGATTCATTCAGGGTGCCAACAATGTGATTTCACATCAACACCTATCCAACATACCACTATTTTACTGATGCAAAGTCACTGGAAGTGGTTGCCAAAATACAAAATCTCCCCCTGGAGGTTTAGGGAAGGAACCGGAAGCAGTGATCTAAAAATAACTACTGTATGTTTGTTTGTGTTTCACTACAGTTGATGGAAATGATTTTCATTCTGGTGGCACTCTTTATGCTTTGGCATATGGGATGGAAATAGGAAAAAGGCTTGTCAAAGTTAAATAAGATTTTTCATCTCACCTGCGATGCGGTAAATTGTACATTTCCCAGGTGCAACACAGCAGCCAGAACACTAAATACGTTTTCCATCTCAGCGGGCTGGAACTTGAGGATTTCCATCGCTGAGACAAGTCGAATGAAGGACTCGGCATCTTGACGACTGCTGACATGTGAACTCCCACCCTGATAAAATTCAAATCAAAATAATGAATATTCATATGCATGGTTTCAAAATGTATTGCTATGAATTACAGTGGATTTCATATCATATATAAAGAAACCCAGTAATAAGTTATGATAGAACCTTCACAAAGTGTCAACCAAACTTAACAACCAATGAGAATGTGTTATTATGTGAATTCTATAATATCACTACAGACACTGACAAGTTTCACTGCCACCATTACACTGCCCAGCTGTCCCTACAGGCCAACTACGCAGCAAGACGTGATTTGCATCCGGTCTGCGTGAGTTAAATGCTATGCAATAGGTCTGTGTCGGTGATAGTCGTGTTGTAGAGTATTAAACATGTTTCATATTCTAACGACGGCTTAAAACTGTCTTGACAATAAATGGCATAGGGCTGCGTCACAACACTGTCTGAGTTGGGCCCTAGGGACAGTTGGACATCGTAACGCGAAGGCTTCTTAATTTGACAATCAGTACCGCCAACAGCTAACGGCAATAGCTTGTAGCTATTTTATGGAAACAAGCCTTAACTTAACAAAATCAAATTCGGAAATACCTACCTGGTTAAGATAGCGGAAGTTTGAAGCATGCCTCAGGCCATATTTTGCCTTCTCCCCTTCAGACATGCCCTCGATCATCTCGTAGAAAATGTGGTAATTCCGTTCTCCCTCGGCCTAGGTATGACAGAACATTATCAGACAAAATTTTAATGTCATTCAAAGTCTTTATGATTTGTATATTGTATTGTGCACGAACAAAATATATTGTATCTGCTGACATAATGAACTTAATTTAAAATATAAAATTCATTATATATACTTACATTTATATTTTAATAAGCAAGTAAGCTTTCAATTTAAAATGTTTACCTGATGAGCAATTCGAGACTTTTCCAGGAGATAATCTGTTGTTTTAGCACCAGTGATAGAACCACTGCAAATAAAGAAAAGCATAAATACATTTCAAAATAAACTGAAGTGCTTGAAAACAGCTGAGAGAAATATTATACCTAATACACAGCTGGCTGTGTTTAACAGAATGGCAAGATGGCACATGATGTAATGGTGGTAGTGATGGTAAATAATGATGGTGATAGTGTGAAGGTAATGGTGAAGAGGATGATGGTGTTGAATGATGGTGGTATGGTGATGAATTATGGTAGCGATGTTGATGGTAATATGGTCATGGTAGTGATATTGTGTGTGTATTGTATGGTGATGGTGATATGGTGAGGGTCGAATTACAGTAGGGATGGTGGTGGTAATATGGTGATGGTGGTGAAGGATGATGGTAGTGATAGTGATATGTTGATGGTGGTGAATGAAGCTGATATGGTGATGAATTACGGTAGTGATATGTTGATTGTGGTGAAGGAAGCTGATATGGTGATGAATTACGGTAGTGATGTTGATGGTGGTGAAGGAAGCTGATATGGTGATGAATTACAGTAGTGATGTTGATGGTGGTGAATGATGGTGGTGAATGATGATGGCAGTGATAGTGATATGGTGATATATTATGGTAGTGATGGTGATGGTAATATGGTGATAATGTTAAATGATGATGGTAGTGATAGTCATATGATGGTGGTGAATGATGGTTATATGGTAATGAATTACGGTAGTGATGGTGATAGTAATATGGTGATCGTGGTGAATGATGGTGAATAATGATGGTGTACAGTGGCGGTGGTAATGTTGATGGTAATACTGGTGGTGTTATTTGGTATTGTTGATGGTGGTGAATGGTGCTGGTGGTGACAATGGCTGTAGCACAAACAGCAACAATGACAATGATGGTGATTATGATGATTATAATTATAATGTAACCAAAGAAAATACACTCACTTTGTAAAGTATACTTCAATATATTTTCCAAATCTACTTGAGTTGTCATTTCTGATGGTCTTAGCATTGCCAAAAGATTCCAACAAAGGGTTTGCTTCTAATATCTAAAACAAAATAAAAAATTTAATACAAAATTTGCACATTGTAAAGTGGTAAACCAAAATAATTCCTTCTTACAACTAGGCATAAAAGCTTCATTATTTTAATACAGAGTTAAATATCAATGTTCAAAATTTCTTACACATTACACAGACTAATATTTGTACAAATAGTGAAATTTGGGGTGGCAATATGTGTGCTTCTCCCCACACCCCCAAACACTCTCCCCGGAAGCAGACAAAAAATCTCAGCATTCAATAATTAGAGCCTCATCCTCCATCCCTCCCCAAGCAGAAACAACCTTGATACACCAATGAAGATAGATTATGCAAATCCTAGCCTAGCCAAGCCAATCCTATTTAAACCTAGCCTAGCCTATCCTAGCCTAGCCTGGCCTGGCATTCACCTGTTCCGTAATTAGGTTGGAGGATGATTTGTTGATAGCAGCGAGGTACTGCATGATCAGCTTTGTGCTCTCAGTCTTGCCTGCACCACTTTCACCGCTTATCACGATGCACTGGTTCTTCCCATCCTTCTGCATACTCAGATACGCAGAGTTACCAATGGCAAAAAGATGACTGGAAGGAGATATGGAAAACAATTTGATTAGACGAGTGAGTGGGCATAAGCTATACTTTGTCCCCACTCAAATTTTGTTTAACAAAAAACTGTCGTGTGTCCATATATAGTCATGATGTGCCTATACTGCTGTTTTAAATGCTTTCTTTACGAACGCACCATCAATTGCTACGTGTGACATGTGCCGCCGATGGAAAGGCGTAGTTTTTCAAATAAAGTATTATTATTATTATTATTATATATGGTCATGATGTGATGTCATCAGGTTTTTGTGATGTGATGTGATGTCACAGGTTTTTGTCAAATAAAATTTGATAGTCTGGACAGAGTGCACATATTATCTTTTTTTTTTTCAACTAAAAGTTAAAATCATTGAGGATAAGCACAAGTGTTTGTCTATTGCACAAATCACTTACGGGGGTAACTGTCCAATGAGTTTTCCTTCATATTTCTTGACTGTATCCACTCCATAAATATCAAATAACTGGTAGGGGTTAACAGCTACTAAAATGCTTCCAGTGTACGTCTTAAATTTAAAAGAAAAATAAGTGACTTTTAAGTTAACCTGTGGAGCATGGTAAGTGATGTAAATGGGGCCACCATGCTACTAACAGCATAGTGGATAACAATCACAAAAAAAAGTATGTAAATTACTTTAAAACAGTTTAAATTAGAACTTTTTGACTATGGTAACTTTATTTATTAATTACATGAAAGTAGTGGTGGATCCAGGAATTCAAAATAGAAGGGATACCCGGGGAAGTACTTTCATAGATGGAGGATCTATATCACCTCAGCCCCAAACATGGTTGGGGCTGAGATAAGAAAATTTGTGATTATGGCACCTCTGAATGGCCAGAAATTGCACTCTCAGACTTAAAATTTGAATATAATTTGTTTAAAATCTTTAAAAATAGGGGCCTTGCCCGGCTGGCTGCCCTCCCTCATCCCAATTCCCCACTGGTAATCTACCACCAGCAATCTATTCTGGCTTTACCATGTTATGTGCTCTATAAACCCAACTTATTATTATTATTATTATTATTATTATTATTATTATTATTATTATTATTATTATTTAATATTATCATTATTAGTCTTTATTATGCACTTCAACGTATTAACTGGAATTAAATTCCTATTATATTTTTATGGACATTGTAAAGAGACGTCACAGTAATTTCAGAATACTACTAAAACTATAAATGTAAAATATATTCATTATGGACACTCAATAAAATACTATTGAAAACACATCACTTCTTACGCCCTCACAGAAACCATAGCAACAATTATTCCAAAAAATTTGGTCTTAGAATCATGAATGTTTTAGTGCTTGCTGATGCAGACACCAATGTCGTAAATCATACAACAAAGAAGTTTAAAATTTAACCATGTTGCAATTTGTTGCTTTCATTGATTTGCACAACTTGTGATGACGTGTGCTAATAATAAAATGGCATTATTTATACCTTTCAAATAAATCTAAGGCACCACACCTTTATTATTTATTATTGTATTGACATTATTATCTAATTATTTATTACAATCGTTATTATGATTGTTTGAATTATTATCATATATTACTATTATTAATTATTAATATCATTACAATTAATAAAAATATTATAACTATTAATTACATACTATATTATCAATATTTATTAACAAAACTCCAAGTCTAGCCTATTATTATCATTATCCTTACTATTATTATAATGGTAGATACCGGTAAGCATGAAATAAATAAATTATATTAATTTTAACAGTATATATTTTGAGACCATTATTTTATCACAAATGTTGAAATTAAACATCATTGAGCCATAATAAATACCTATAGAATTTGCAATCTAGAATTATATATTAAATACAAGTCTGCAGTGAGGCAGGTGGGAATCCACCACACCCACAATTTTGATCCGCTTCTGGAAAGAGGTATATTGTCGTTTTGTGCTATATAAACCTAACATATTATACACTTAATTGCATTATTATGGTAACAGTGATAAAGTCCATGACTTTTATTCTACTAAGGACCTAGGCTAGCCTGCATAGGGCAGTATTTACAGGTCTACCTACTGTAAACATTCATAAATATTTATTGTCTCATCAATTTATGATTGTTCAGGTGTAATTGATATTATGTCTGGCAAACCCTACACAATCGTATTCTAACGTATACAAATTATAAAAACACTAACAGATACTGTAATAAAATTAAACTAATTTAAACATTTTTTTTTAATTTTTAAAACAACAATAATTTATACAAATATACTATGTATAAATAAGATATTAGCACTTACATAAATAAGTCCTTTGTTATATCTTGTTTCCAAGTTGAATATTAATGACCCTTCATGCAAATCTCTATTTAGGGTAAAAAATAATGCTGTATGAATCTTAACAAATATGATTTACAGTAATATACTATGTACAGTGGTATATGTAGGAAGGTGCGTGGCTATGCACGCCCCCCAACCCCAAAAAAGAAAAATAGTCACCCTACCTCTAAAAACTCGCTCTAAAGTCACATTAAATCACTGTATTTTGCGAGCTAATGCCCCCTCCCTACATCTAATAATCAAGCCCCCAGTTCTTCTTCGCTCCCCCCTCAGCCCCCGTCTGGCAAACCCTACACAATCGTATTCTAACGTATACAAATTATAAAAACACTAACAGATACTGTAATAAAATTAAACTAATTTAAACATTTTTTTTTAATTTTTAAAACAACAATAATTTATACAAATATACTATGTATAAATAAGATATTAGCACTTACATAAATAAGTCCTTTGTTATATCTTGTTTCCAAGTTGAATATTAATGACCCTTCATGCAAATCTCTATTTAGGGTAAAAAATAATGCTGTATGAATCTTAACAAATATGATTTACAGTAATATACTATGTACAGTGGCATATGTAGGAAGGTGCGTGGCTATGCACGCCCCCCACACCCCAAAAAAGAAAAATAGTCGCCCTACCTCTAAAAACTCGCTCTAAAGTCACATTAAATCACTGTATTTTGCGAGTTAATACCCCCTCCCTACATCTAATAATCAAGCCCCCAGTTCTTCTTCGCTCCCCCATCAGCCCCCACCCTCATTTGAAGACTTCTTTAAGACTTCTAGATATAGTACGTCACTGTATATGTAGTACTATGAATATTTTTTAAATTTAGTAAATAATTTATAGTCTGTAAATACCTGAGAGAAATCATGTCCTCCACCTCCTCCACCTCTATGTTGTCATGGCGAACTCGCAGAGTCTTGCTGCTGTCGTGGACTTTGTACTTCTGCGAACCAAAGCAGAATGATGCTTAGAGTACAGAATATACTCGCGTACAAGACAAGACAAGGCTTTTAAAGGCAGATTACGATCGACAAACAGGGGGTTGTCTTACATGCACAACATACAAATTTGAGATTTATAAAATTATGTTCGTCTTATGTGCCAATCGTTCGTAACACACAAATTTACTACTACCCTGAAGCTACTAAATTTTATTATGAATAAATGCAATTTTATGGGAAAATAAGATTTTGATGAAAATTTTAAAACTCAGTAAATGATATTATTTGTAAGATTAGCTTTGCATTTGGCTCCGTTTTTAGTCAGCTAGATGCAGTATCAAGACCATAACAGCAGGAATTCTGACCATGAAACATGGGGTCTCCTTATATGCTTGACACACAAAATCATCCGAAATCTTCTTAAACTAGGGGGGCATCTTATAGGCAAATATATACAGTATAATGGTGAAGTTGAAATACTTGTGTCTATTCAAATATAGGGTGGGGTATTAAAGGTAGGAGGATAACTACAGTAGCAACATACTTGAAATATTTACATATTACTATATTTTACTTCTTAATATCCGATAAGACTTTGGTTGTACCAACCGAACACTGGGGGAGGAGGGTTTTAAACCAGCATATATGTTGAGGATGCTGTTTCCTACTGTATCTGTATACAATATTCCTTCCAGCAGAAGTCAATAAACAATTACATCAAATTAAAAAAAAAAGTTTTTTCTAATGCATACAGTAGTTTAGTTTTTAGTTTTTATTTGGAATCACTTTTATTACAGTGGCACACATCCAAAATAATGGTGCATCCAAAAGAGAAAAATCAACAGTAAATTAAAAAGAAAATCACAGAACTAAAGGTTTGGTAAATAAAGCAAAAAAACAATATTTCAATATACAAATTCATTAAAAATAATAACAAAAATAATAATAAAGAAAATAAACTTAAAATATTGGTAGTAATTATTAAGTATTAATGTTCTTAAAAATGTTTGATCCCAAATATTAAATATAATAAAAGATTCCTCAATTAAATCTATGATTTCTGTTACAATTATTCCAACCATTGTAAATTACTATCTATGTACAGTACATGTATGCACAAAAATAATATTGATTGACCTTTTATGTACAATGTGAAATTATATTTATCAGACAAGAAATGGCTGAAGTGACAGTAATAAATGGCCGCATAATAAGACAACAACAAAAGCAATAGTACATCAATGAGACAGAATTACTGTACTATTCATTTTCTCTTTTATGTACGAATAATTTTGATGTATACTTCATTGCTACTGTACAATGCACATCAATGCCTTATAAAATTTTCAGTATCTTCAAGGGTGATTTTATAGCTTATAAATTCCATAATTTCAGACTGCATGTCTAAAACATAATCAGTAAAATATAACTTAATCATAATAAATATATTTTATCCAATATATATTCATGCTTTTTAAATTTATATTAAAATTTATATGATCAGGGATTAATTAATTAGTTCATCTGCCAGAAAAAGATTTGGGCGACTGTTTTCCGTAGACTTTGACCCCTCCAAATCCTGGACAAAGGTTAAATCCTGTACTACTGTACATTAAAAGCAGGCTTAGAGTAGGCAAAAGCATAAATTGTGCCTGGTATTCAATCAACAACTTATGTAAACTAGCTATCATAAATGGTTTTCTGTGTATATTTGAAGATAGATTAAAAAGAATGGTAGGTTGGTGTGTGTCATAGAGGAAATAAAATGCATGGGAAGTCATATTCCACGAATATTCAATAATAAAATGGGGTCCCAGGACCTGTTATAGCAGCCAGTGGTGACAAAATATCAATTCATTGGAACCACAAAATGAATTTGAGGGGCAAAAGAATGCTGAATAAACAACCTTATTTTTAAAGTATTGTATATTTTTTTATAGATAGCTAAACAATTGTTGAGTGAGAATGATACTAGTAGTTACAGTATAGATGATGATGTTGATGATAATGATAATGATAATGATGATGATGATGATAGATGATGATGATGATGATGATGATGATAATAATAGATGATGATGATGATAATGATAACAATGAAATAATTATAATGTTGAAGATGATGACGATAATGATGAAATAATGATGAATTACAATTAATGATGACGATCATAGTGATCATGGTGATCGTTATGCATGATCATAATTATGATGATGATAACGATAATGAATATTCATAATAAAAATCTGACATTAACATATGCAATTTTAACTGAGCATTTAATTTTCAGATTTAGTAATTGTACTTCTAAAATTTTCCCAATACAGTATATCATATGATATACTATGATCAGAAAACAATCAAACGATCCATTCATAATTTTACAATAGATCACAAACCCTTGTCTACGGCTTGAGAATGTCAAACACAAACACTGAGGAACAGAGCGTGAGAAAGTAAGGTTGAAAAAAAAGGTGTACAGACACTTCAAAGCAATTCATGCTCTATTGAAACGTAAGATAATAGTTCATTCACATTACAATCAGGGATAGCGTTTAGGATCTGTCAATTTTGTTTGGAACTTTACATCAATTGCATTAAAATAAATATTTATTTAAAACATAGTACAGGTACAACTAGTACTGTAAAAGGTTTTTCAATTCAAAATAATCATTTAAAATTTCTACAATTCCTTTTGTTTTGTATGTTTTGACCCCTCTGGAAATTCAATTCAATTGAGTTTTAGTTTGTAAGAACAGTAACAAGATGTAAAACCTAATAAAAGCAAGGCTTGCCTCAACAATAGGCACTAAAATTACAACTATTTTAATTGCTCAATAAATGTTCTATTAACAATTAATAATATATCCTGAGTTAATATTTACAGTGTTATACCATGTTCAACAATGGCTATGTACTGTACTGTATTTTCTCCATTTGGATATTATTTTTAGGAAATGTTGAGTATAAAAATGTTTGTTATTGTAAACTGGTGATAACATATTATTAATTAATGTTAATACTAAAACAATAATAATAATAATAATAATAATAATAATAATAATAATAATAACACTGTAATAATATCCATAACAAGATAGTATAATACATACTGGAATATGTATAATACTATCTTAAATCCATAACAATTATTTACAATTAACACAATTTAAATAACATGATTAATTTAACATAGTAATGGTGATAATAAAAAAAAAAATACTACCATGATTTGCATTATAGGATTTAAGGTCAACGTATACCCCTACCTTGCCATCTGTAACACCTTTGACCTCAACAAAGTCTTTGTCCAAAGACTTCAGCCAGTGGCCTGGGAGGGGGTATCCAATTCCTCCATCGAACCAAACTGGTGTACCCTTAAACAAGAAAAAAATTTAAATGAATGATAAAATTTTTGTGTGAAGGCTTATAAAGAACTGCAAAAACAAAAGTAATATCACTCTCAGATTCATAAAGATATGGGGAGCAAAGCCAAATAAATCCCTGGCTCAGGCATCTCATTTAAAAAGTGTTTAGCAAAGAATTTACACTATAGTTAAAAATCAACTCCTTTCCTTTAGTTACTACCAAATCCATAAAATGTTGGTTCTACCATATATTGGTTTGTTAAAGTCAGGCTCCGGAGGAAAAACATTTTTTGATATGTTGTAGAACTGATTTTTCTAAGACAGAAAAAAGTTGTTTGACGAAAAACTGGGGAACGGTGAACGAGCTACAGATTTTTTAATATTTAAAAACGGGGGAAAAAGGGCGGCGTTTTTTACACCTTTTTCTCCCAGTTTTTAAATATTCAAAAATCTGTATCTCATTCACCATTGCTCAGTTTTTCGTCAAACAACTTTTTTCTGTATCAGAAAAATCAGTTCTACAACATATCAAAAACTTTATTCCCTCCGGAGCCTGACTTTAAGGTGTTAGCTGCCATTTAGGGGGATTTGCCTTGAGGACTAATAGCAAAGGGATTGAGTGTGCACACAAAATTTAAAATAGGTCATGTTTACTCTGGTCATTGAGATTTGCTAAATGATTTACTGCAATGACAAAGCTGAGGTTGGGTTACCAAGGGCGGATCCAGCTGATACCTCAAAGGGTTCCGAAAGGGGCCTGAAATTGAGGCTGATTTAGATAACACCACTCTAGGGGGGTCCGAAATTTTTGTTTTGTAGATGCCCGAAAATAATCTCCGAGGCATTTTTGTCTTTTATTTTTTGTATTTTTTTTTTTTTCTTTTTTTTATACTTTCCAAAAGGTTACATGAGGGAGTATGAAAATACCGTACAGTAACCTCAAGGAGGAGTAAATTTTCTATATATGAGTTTAACATTTCTTACAGAAGACGTATTAACTGATTATTAAAGCAGTTAAAATTACTGTATGCATAAACTGTTTGACTACTGTAGGTGGGCAGGAGCTAGGCTTATACAATGACACTGTTTGCCCTTGCGGCCAACGCCACACAGTAAACACAAGAACACAATACGAACATACAGTGTATGCCATGACAATTTTAAAGAATTGCAAACAAAATATTATGTTAAGGAGGAGCTGGGACCTGCCTTCAAAAGTGTATTGATCATTATCAATGGGAACACAATGGTTGTCTACATGATTAATAACAATGGCGATCATAATGGCTGCAACCATTGTTGACCAAAATGTGTGTCTGTATTCAATTGCAGCATCAGCAAAGGGTAGTGACGTTTCTAGAACTAAAAGGTCACGATCAACTAGTTCAAAATCACCTTATTTGGCGAGCTAGTGAACCTTGCTTAATCATCAAGTCCCCACTTCATCTTCAGCCCCATCAGCCTCTTCCCCCCCCCAATATCCCACCCATTACACAAGTCCTATACGCCACTGGCAAAGGAAGAATGTGCTTAATCCTCCTGGTTACCACCCAGGCTGCTAATCAGCCGCAAACTCAAGATGCAAATGATACATTTTTTTTGCCATAAAATCTTAAATTTAGGCTGATATTTAATCATTTATTCTAATCATTATACCAGACCATATTAGATGGTTTAGTTTCTAAAATTTAAATATCTAATCAGATTTTTACTGATTTGCACTGACAGGCTTCCACAAGCTGTATCTTTAAACTTGCTTTTAAAGTGAGTGTTAGGCTGAGAGGCAATGTTCCTTCTTGCATTGTAGACCCTGGTCCAAACCGGCCAGCATCGGGTTTCAACTGTTGGAGTCAGATCGCTCTGCTCCGCAAATAACCCTCGCATGGGGGTTAGGCAGGGTAAGACACAATGCATTCATTATAATATGGCGATTCTTGCGCTGCACTTATGGCAGGCTCATAATTTCCTACTTTCAAATATTTGGAAGTGGACAAAAAAAAAAAATTAAATCTTAATATACTTGGCTATTATTATTATTATTGTAACCTCATTTTCTAGATTTGTGTACTACTACTACTTCTACATTGCTGATAACAAAGTATTGTACGTGCGACTACGATAAAAGTGAGCATGTGTAGTACACTACTGTAATTAATAGTTTTTATGACAGCTACTGTAATTGTTAGGAGTTCATTTCTAAACAGCCACTGACAAATTATAACAGGTTATAAGATAAATTACCAAGGAAGGTACAGTATAATCATTGACATTGTATTCAGTATTTTTCTGTTATTTAAATTCAATTTCAGTGGTTGCACTCAATTACAGAGCACATTACAGTACATTCATGCTTCAAAAATTTGGCTGAAATGTTGATAAAATGGTCAAAAAATAGAGATTTAAACTATTTAAATTTGTTTCAACCTACCTGCTCCATTTTATTCAAAGTACTGGTTTCTCTGAACTATATTCCCCATAGACTCTGGCTACAAAAAACTGATAGCATAAATTTTGGAGATTGCGTTCAAGTATGTGTTCAGCAGTGTTTACTTGGTTACTACAAAATTCTGTGAAATATAAAATGTGACATAAAGTTGATGATACGTAGCCTATTAACCGATTCAAACAAAATAAAATAACATATTGGATGTATGCTACTACACAATGCAACCTACTATAAGGTGTCAACATGAATTTTCTCTCCCTAGAATCAAATCCGAACGTTCAAAGAATTTTATAACAAATGCTGGTTTTTAATTCAATAACAGGTAAATCGTCCCTATACACCTGGGCCCTCCTCTCTTATGTGGATTTCATGGAATGCATAATTTTGTTAATTTTCCTTGGGTTTTTTTTTTAATGATTTTTGGTGTCGGTTCGAATTGTTTTATTTATTTTTTCCCGCTGTTACAATAATTTTGTTTACTTTTTTAATTCAATAGAAAAATGTAAATAAAATGTTATATTACTACAGTTGTTACACAGATATCCCATGATGCCACAGAGATACAATTCACCCTCCGATTCCAGACCACCTTTCGGGACCTCAAAATTTTGAGTGTTCTTGGTCTCCAGATAGAGAGTAGGCCTAACTTAAGGTTAATAGATTGAAAATTGTTATTTATTTCTCTGAAAAAGTGCTCTCAAATTAGAGGGGTCTAGGAATTAGGGAGGTCTCAAATTGGAGAATGCATATGTCAACCTCACATGAGCAGGACTGTATGGAAATATGATGAGTACTTCTTCAGCAATCTCATCATATTTCCGGAAAAACATACCAACAATTATATTTACACTATCTTTACAGAAGATGATGAGGATATTATTCAAAATAATTAATTACCTGTAACTAACGCAGGCTTTATTGCCTGTAGATGTGCAGCCGAAATTGCTCGCTCAGGTGTGTGAGTATGATTGTATGATTGAAACACTCCAGACTCGTTCGGGCGTAGTCAAAATTTCTACCAATATTAGCTCATGAATCAATAACAATAACTATGATAACCTTCAATGAGAGCTCTTCCTCACGAAACCAATTACCAGTCACAACAAACGAGTTCTTTATAATCCTACACGGTTACTAAGAAATTATTATTCTTCCCAAATTAACATAGGCCCATGGTACTACAAACAAGTGTAGTGCTCTAGAAAGTACTGAAAAGAAAGTAAAGTTTTTATTTTGCCTTCTTCCAGTGCAAAGCTACTAAGTTCAATTCCTATCAGTGTTGTAGGATAATTTCCTCATGACCAAAAACAACTACAGTCTAAGCCTTCTAATAAACTTTAATAGTCAATTTTTTAATCATTTTGTCTTCCATGGCATGTCTTTGGAATATCGAAATGGCGGGTGGAGAGGGATGATGGACGAGTGAATGTAGGGTGCTGCTGGTTCCCAAAATAAGATGATGTTAACTAATTTTTACTTATTTTTATATTTTGTAATGTAATATTTTTTTCTGAGAACACTTTCAATGGGGGGAGGGGGGAAGCAACTGGGGTTACAAGTTTTTTAAAGGGTCGTGCTAATCCAGGCCCTCCCCTAGATACACCACTGTTTGTTTGTAGTTTATACATCCAGAGATGTCCAAAAGGGGGCCGATCAAGATAACAGTACCCTAAAACGTCCGGGGCATGCCCTCTCAAAATTTTTGTTTTGTAGACGTCCAAAAATAACATCTGAGGTGTTTTTGGCCAATTTTTTTCTTTTTCAAAGAAGGAAAATAAAAAACAAAAAACACCCCTGGGTTGATAGATCGGGTAATCTAAAGCACAGAAAGATACAAATTTCATACTATTTATTCTTTAAGGAAACATTAACATAAAAATATGAACAGGCCATCTTACTACATTTTCTTCAAAAAAAATATATTACAATTTAATTCTAAAAGCTTCTTTGCTGAAATGCTTAATAATATCATGAATATCAATTAACAAGAAAACACTCACCAAATATAAGCACAGCTGGTGACAATGATTTAAACACTCACCAAATATAAGCACAGCTGGTGACAATGATTTAAATCCTATAGGTTAGGCCTACTGTATTCCTAGTGACAATTTATGGGAGTTAACTGTTACGCATGACTGAAGTCTCTAGCGGTGAACTCACAAACTGACTTTCAATCATCAATATTATCTGAGTAATGCACACATTGTCTGGGTGTGTTTCTGAACTTTGGTCACATGCACTTCCAACCCTGCATTAGTTAAGTGATATTTACATCCGCCAAAAAGGTATGTATTCACTGACTGTCTGTCTGTCTGTTTGTTAGCAATATTACGCATAAACTAATGAATTAAAATAATGATCATCATAAAATTTAGTGAAATTGTACATAATAATCTAAGAAAGACATCTTTCAATTTTCGGGAAAAGGTCAAAGGACAAGATCAAGGTCACAGAAATGTTGTGCAATGTAATTCATATTCATTTCATTGAATGTAAAACGACTGTTAATTTTAATTATAAATTAGTATACCGTAAAACCTCCAATTGAAGCCCTCGGCTTTTTTTTTTTTGCAAACTTTGGATGGGCTTCTTCATTTCGAGGTTACTTTTGCAAAGTAAAAAGGGGGACTTCTTTTCAAAATGAATTGTAAATTTTGGGAATCTCATAAAACAATAAATAGGGCCACTGTAACATCAACCTGTATCATGGAGTGTATTATTAACCGGCATTAAATCACCTAAACTACCGTATGAATCAAGCATGTTTTTAATTTGTTTCTTTGAAATTCATGTACAGTGTATGTACTGTACTATCTGAAAAAAAAAACCAATGCTATCTATAAGTCAGGAAAAAGTTGGTAACTTAATTGGATTAAATATTAAATATTTTAAAACTTAATCTTTATCTTAATTAGACACACATATAAACAAGCATCTTTTTAATAAAGAGTTTCGGTTTTTGCGACGATTTTTATAATGATAAAACCTTCGTCCAATCACAGTGCGACATGGTTGAGGCAATAAAATATTAATACCCTCGGCGGTAAGTAGGTAGGACAACTAACTAGGGGTAGCTACCAAAACTGAAAATAGTTCTACTTTCTTTTACAAATTCGCCTTTCCAGATCTTAGATTTGAGCAGATTTCCAATGTTTATCATCATAAATCAACTTGAAATATAATCGTTTAAACATTTGTTTACATTTGTGTCCATTTTAGGTGGTATCAAGAACCACATGGCGCTGCTCCTCCGCTGTTCCAGGCCTGCTGAAATCCTTTCTGTGCGGGTGGTACAAAAACACCAGCTAGGTAGTGGGGGGCCTGGCGCTGCCTCTCAAGAACAGGCAAATAACGCATTACCCTATGCCTGAAAAGTATTTCAGCTTATGGAGATAATGTAATAGCAATAAAACTTGCTTACCCTTCGTCTAAAGATATACTTCTGTACATTGTTTTAGAAAACCACATTTATCCATAGGGCCTAGGCCTACACACTTGTCTCCTGCCTGCTTCTTCGTAATCCAATAACAAATTTACATCTCGCAACGACGGCCGGGGAGAGATGAGAAAAGTATTACCACAGTCTAGAGGGCGCTAATACAGTAATAAAAATTAACTGTACTATTAATACAGCACAATTATATGGAAGAGTAAGTTTATTTTATTGTATTTTGTTTACACGTACTTTACTGTAGAGTTGATTGATGGTACAGATGGCCCTTCGAAATTTGCTACAAGTGAAGCATGTTGTTTATACAACTGTATTTCATTTTCATGGCGCTACCTGTCTCACCAGCCGCACTAACCTACTTGTGTATTTCCTTTTTACCTTTAAGAATTTAATGTTTTGTTGTAATAATTGTGTTATTTTATGTACTTGTAGCTAAGAATTTCAACACGTTTATTTTGGTTCATTTTGAACGCACCAAATGGTTTTTGAGTGCCATCGATCTTAAGGTGTAGGTCTACCGTCGTATATTCTAAAAAAATATATTATTTATTTATACTTTTGAGCCCGTAGAGTTCAGGGAGCAGCGCCGTTTATTATTCCTCCATGCATATACTGTACACGTAAAAGTTGTTCGTAAAACTTATGCCTCCACCAAGGATGTATGTATTCACCCCTTTCCGTCGGTAAAACCATGATCGCTTGGTGGGTCTGTCTGGGTCTTTGCCATCGATTGTTTCCTCAAAGACAATTTTCGGGTACTCATCTTGTGTTTGGCATTCTTGTCACAATACATCTGATACCTTTGATTTTGTCCACGAATTTTTCTCTTCTTTTGAGACAACAAAAGTCTATTGCTGTATAAATTTATTTGCTGTATCATTATTCCCTTTATATTGTGCGTATCAGTGGCCGGGACAAGAGGCCGAGCCGGCTCATGCCCCTACATTTTTTCAAAACAATAAAAACAGAATTGAAGAAAAAGGAAAATACTACCGTAATCAAATTTAGGTCTTAATATGCCATTTTCGGCCATCTAGCATCATCATAATAATTAATGGTTCTCCATGTGGAAGTCCCTCCTGGAACCCTCTATTTCGAATTCCTGGATCCACCACTATGTATATATTTCTATGGTAGGCTTATAATTTATTCTTATGTACAAGTGTTATATGAATCTATTGTAGGCCTATCAACTAAATAAGGAACAAGTCATCAGCGTTTAAAGTATGCTCATTGGTGGTTACACTATCGTAAACTTCTGTAAATTGATTGATAGAATATAGATAACAGAAAACTACGATTCAAACAAAAACGGATATGCACCATGGTTGTCTGATATCTTATCTTTACTAATTAAGATTGAAACTAGATGATCTTTATATTAATAATAGGCCTACACATTCGTTAAAGATGAACTTCTCTCATTAATGGTTATATTATTATTGCTCAAAACAAGCTACGTAATTTTAAAACTCATTTTGAGTTCGAAAATTACTGTTTATTTTTAAGACAACTTTATATAGGCCTATATAGAAAACTGAAAAGGCCAAAGATCACAATCTATTATGAATGAGAGAGGTCGGTGACTAAACCAAAAATTAGCCCCGATGAGAGAATCTGTAGCAATTGTAATTCTGGTGTGGTAGAGGATGTTGCATTTTTAATAAACTGCACTCAATACACAAACAGTTTCGAACGTTGGGGAAGGTATAACCATGGAGGTATTAACCCTGATAGCTTAAATGATGATGAATTCATTGTCTCATGAGTAGTCAAGATTTTGACATTTTGCTGCCACTCCCCTCAAATTCACACTTGATGTTTTTATCGCGAGCTGGAACTTCGTGTAACATGTCTTGAATTCATTTTGAAATAACTTGTTTGTTCTGTAATTTTGTTTTATCAAGTTGTTTGATTTATTAATAAAGTAAAAGTTATACATTTGTACCGCGCAAAATACTAGTGTCTCTATGTGCAAAGTACCTACATAGTGTACACGAATTTGTGCATTGCATGTTTTTAGGATATTTAATTAATTTCAAGTACTAAAGATAAATGAAAAATCTAACCTCGAAAACAAAGCATAATCAGGAATTGGTGTAGTCAATAACATAAATAACAAGAACCTGCATTAAAACATCATTAGTCTTTCTAATTTTAATAATTTAAAGTAGCTCTTCTATGCTTTTACGATATAGCTTTGGATGGAATATTCTACTTAATAGGATTAGCCACAGCTAACTGGAAGGTTCAATTTTCTTTAAAAAAAAAAATATTCAGTAACAAAGAACAGAAACAACTCGTGCAAACTTCGTATAATATTTTTTTCAAAACATGATAATGATGATAATAATAATGATGATGATAATGATGATGGATTATGGTTGTGATGATGATGATAATGATGAATCTGACGATGATACTTAATTAAAACAAATTTACTGTATAAAACGTAGACAACTTTAATTAACTCTTGCTCTGAGTTTTTCACAATTTCTTTATAACTCATATAGGCCCTAATATTGATTATTTTCTTTAATATTTGATACCGTAGTGGTACTGGTTTCTATTAAAAATATTGTATAACCCACGTTAAAAGTCCTCACCTGAGAGAAATATAAATAAGTATATAAAATATATAAGTATATAAAATAAGTATGAAAAATAAGTTCTCTATGTACATTTAAAAAATATTAATATTTGCCTAAACATTAATTGAGGTCAAAACTTACATACAAATTTTGAAACATTCATTATTTTAAAACATATAAAAGGAATGACAGCAGGACTTCTTTAGGAGAACTGTATAATTTGTACAGTTTCCTGATGAAGTCCCTGTGTTGACGAAAACTGTTGCTGTTGTCATTTCTGTACATTGTTCAATAGTAGACTAACGCGCCTTCACATTTTTTTCATCATTGTTTCAAATAAGCACAATATATTACATAGGCTTAAAATTGTAGAAAATTGCCATTAAAAATCAGATTGTCTCCCTACCCATATTTTCAGAATCCAAGACAACTTGCTAAGTTTCTTTTTCACTAATTGCCTATCCACTACAGCTTTTGATTCTAGAGAACATAATTAAGTTGTTAAAGTTTAAAATAGTAAAGAACAAGTCCGGATATAATAGTTGCATAGTTGCTATTAAGTGCAGAGCAATTGACTCCGATGTCAACTTCCTACCAATGAATTAGCTTTACCAGAAAAAGAACAATTAAATACACATTCCTCCCTAAGTACTGGATCTGATCATTTTGATGGAGTCTAATGCTGACTATTTATTACACAGTAATGTATATATGGCTACCACCTCCACTTACGCCTATATTATTTTTAATAATTTTTTTTTAAATAATTTAAAAAAAACCAAAATTAATATATTGAAAAGAAATGTGAAACCCAGTCCATTCTATTTTGTTAAGCAGATTGCCTATCAATATCACTTTGCAGCAAATACACCTGTTTGACTTGCTTAAACAAAGAATGTGAATAAAACATGTTTCTTTAAGATAAAAATAATATATACACACAGCCTAAATTTTTAATGTTATTTGCACATTATTGCATAAACATCACAAAAACCTTTCTCTAAAATGGTTACTGCATTTAAAATCAAATGTTATTACAAAACAGTAAAGAGTATTTGAACAGAATTTGGCAATACAATTATAGCTTTTCACTCATCATCTGTACTAACTCATTAAGACAACATTAATCTCAGATTGCATTTGTATATAAAAAATAACTAATCATAATAAAATTACACTTGTTCTGATTTGGCTATTGTAAAATGAATTATTGCGCTAAAATCGAGATTGCTTCTTAGTCAAACAAGATCAAAAGTACAATAAAAGAAAGCTACGATATTGATAACAAAGGAAAACACTAAATCTTTGACAAAACTGATCACCCAAAACAAATACATTCGATCAGTTTGCGTGTTTTGCATCACTGGTATTTGCAGTGGCGTATGAATTCTTGAATTGGGGGGTGGGGCTCGTTGATCAGTTGAGGGGCGTTAATTCGCAAAATATGGTGATTTTAGGTGATTTTTAACTACTTGAATTGGGGGAACACGAGTAATTTTGAGGGGAACACGAGTAATTTTTTGGGGGATGCGCCCCCCCCCGCGCCCTCCCCTATATACGCCACTGGGTGTTTGTCAAGTAAAAATTCATACAGTGGAGGGAGCTTCAAAGTATTTTAGAACTTGAACAAAATCGTAGTTAGTAAATTTTGAATACCATGCTCAATTTGATTTGTTTTTTCTTTCAAAATCAGCAAATGATTTATTCATTCAGATTTATTGTGATTCTTTTATTTCGTTCGTATGAATCACAGGAGCAACACAATTGGTTATTAATGTAGCTTCCTTTTAGCGAATAATCACTTATAATCGATTTTAGTTGCTTGCTGTTGTTACAGTCGTAGCAGGCAAGGTCACCGGCGAGCAGGTTAACAGCATGACCCCTTTTATTTAAAGAAAATATGAAAATTACTACTTTGTTGCTAAATTTAAAATTGTTCCAGAATTTTCTATAGAACAATACATATTTAACATAGCATCCAAGAGTAATTAAGTCGGAATATTGAAAGTAAAAAATACAAATACTAGTTTCTGATAATTTTAACATTGGTTACATTAACAAAATTATGGGGGGGGGGAGTGAATAGGGTGGCTAGCCACTCAACCTTAGTTTACTGCGAAAAAAAAATAATGGACACTCGTCTTGTGTGTGTGCTTCTCATGTACTCTAGTAAAACATACACTTTTATTTTAAGCTTAATTCTTTTCAGATGCCATCTAAGATCGTCTAGCAGTTTACTAATTCCAAAAAAAATCTCAAATGGGAGGAAACACCCCTCTCAAAAACACCATTNNATGAAAGGAATTCCCTAAAACCCCCCCAACAACCCGCTCGTGCTTCGCCCCTCGCATCCCCCCCCATTACTAAATCCTAGATCCGCCACTCTGTGCATGACAAAAAATCATCCATGTTTGACAGAGTCCGTTTTTGTACAGTTGAGAGAATATTATGTTTTGTTGAAAAGACGAATCAAGTTTCTATGCGGTACTTTCTCTCAGTGTGTTATTTGAAATGTCAGGCATTGCAAACGTTTCTAATACAATATTTTGGGGCGTGATTATCCCATTTCCTTGCATTGTATTATCTAAGAAAAACTGAGGCTCAGCTTCCGGTAAAACAGATTTTGAAGTCCATTTTGAAAGTGACCAGTATGGCTGAAAAACTCCTTGCTTCGTTGGATTCTTTTTCAAAACTCCGAGTTTCTTCAGCCACAAATGACGAACTTCCGACGGCCAGACACAACATGTCCCGAAGATCGCAGATCCCTCAAGAATACTAAACAGGAAAAACAAACCATCTGTCCCCGTGGTGGCGCTAAATATTGCTATAAATCCAAATATAACAGTAAGAATTCCAAGAATGACAATTACGCTAGATGCTATGACAAGAACACGCGCTTGTTGACGTTTTCGAAACATTGGATCACCTTCATCCTCAATCTTTCCATCTATTAATGGTACTGACATATTACAGGCCATAAAATATACAATAGAAATTGAGCATACTGCAGCGAAGACCGGTACAATCATCGAAATAATGAAAACCAAAGCTGGACTTTTGACAATGAAGCAACTACAAATAAAATGCAAAATGCTATTAAAACGTGTAATTTTGTAGAAAAGGTTATGATAATAAATTAATTCTTATACCTTATTTATTAAAGGATTACACACATTATATTTTCAAAGAAAATTGTTACTACTTCAAGAGTGCAAACTAAATTTTGAGAAACGAATTATCAAATAATTACTGAAATCTCTATCAGTATTTCAGCCAGTTTAGTCATCCGCATAATCAGTCAGTAGTCAGTCAGTTGGTGGTCAGTCCGTCGGTCCTGAGACAGCTATTTAATCAGCTGACAAATCAGTCAGCTGCAGCTTGTTAATCAGCAGTTCAGTTATTCAGTCAGTCAGTCAACCATCCAGACAGCCCACCAGTATATCCAGTTACTCAGAATCAGCCATTCAGTCAAACAGTCAGGAAGTCGGTCAGTGTCGTCAGTCAGGCATACAGTCAACTAGTCAGACGGTCGGTCAGTCACTCACTCAGTCACATAGTCACTATAGGCCTATGCATAATAAAAAAATAAATTAAATTAAATCAAACTAACAATGAGACTTACTGTTGATCTTTTTCTATATAAGAATCTAAATCAATGGCTGCTACTATGATGACAATAACCAGAGGTATTCCTGAAATTAGATGCAATTCTTACATCATGAATGTTTCATTTTACGAGCCAATTTACAAAGCATGGCGAGAAAAAACTATTTTCTCGAGCGACATTTTTCTTGTTCGATTTGTTTAATGTATACAGGTATATCGTTTTCCTCCTGCGTTTCTGATATTTAAACATTTATGTTCTTGACTATTCAGTTATTCATGTTTAACCAAAGAGTATAAATAGAACAAGAGAGCAAAGTCCCGTTCGTAAAAACGTCACGCCTGTGTAGCTGTCTCTTATACACATCTAGATGTGTATAAGAGACAGGTAATGTATATATGGCTACCACCTCCACTTACGCCTATATTATTTTTAATAATTTTTTTTTAAATAATTTAAAAAAAACCAAAATTAATATATTGAAAAGAAATGTGAAACCCAGTCCATTCTATTTTGTTAAGCAGATTGCCTATCAATATCACTTTGCAGCAAATACACCTGTTTGACTTGCTTAAACAAAGAATGTGAATAAAACATGTTTCTTTAAGATAAAAATAATATATACACACAGCCTAAATTTTTAATGTTATTTGCACATTATTGCATAAACATCACAAAAACCTTTCTCTAAAATGGTTACTGCATTTAAAATCAAATGTTATTACAAAACAGTAAAGAGTATTTGAACAGAATTTGGCAATACAATTATAGCTTTTCACTCATCATCTGTACTAACTCATTAAGACAACATTAATCTCAGATTGCATTTGTATATAAAAAATAACTAATCATAATAAAATTACACTTGTTCTGATTTGGCTATTGTAAAATGAATTATTGCGCTAAAATCGAGATTGCTTCTTAGTCAAACAAGATCAAAAGTACAATAAAAGAAAGCTACGATATTGATAACAAAGGAAAACACTAAATCTTTGACAAAACTGATCACCCAAAACAAATACATAGATGTGTATAAGAGACAGGTGCGTATGGGCGTATCGTTTTTTTACGCTCTCAATGAGCGTTGTTGGCTCTCTTGTTCTATTTATACTCTTTGGTTTAACTTACCCCAAGCCAAGACCGATGACTTCAATACAAAGCTTTTAATAGGCAGTGCCCTTGCTGTGACAAATACGATGTAGATATCAATAGCGCCCACAATCATCCAGCTCAACGAAACCAATATCCCATAATGCATTAAGATTCCAAAAGTTGCACAAACTTCTCTGTTGCTGGTTAGATCGATTCCAACAGTGAAGAATAAGTGCCAAATGGCTAAAGCCGAGAATAGGTGGGCTAAAATCTGATGTGGTTTGCTATTTCTAAGATCCCTTTGAGAAATCAATAATTTCATAGTTTTGTTTATTATTTCTTCTAATAATAATTTAGGTTTCGCATATATAGTGCTTAATGCCAACAAGACCTCTAAGCGCTTCACATTATCAACAATGTCATCATCATCATCATCATCATCACCATCATCTTCACCATCATCTTCATCATCATCTTCATCATCATCATCATCATCATCATCATCATCATCATCATCATTAATTGTTATTGTTTTATTATTATTATTATTATTATTATTATTATTATTATTATTATCATCATCATTATTATTATCATCATCATTATTATTATTGTTGTTGTTGTTATTATGATACTCAGCTCCCTGGAAGAATTCTCCAAAATTGCAACTGTAATCAGAGCATTTTGTGTTTGAAACTACCAGGTACCCACTTGATTGTACCAAACCGCCCTTATTAGGCCTAATCAAAAAAAGTTTGGAGTCCCCCATTTTACAAGTAGGTCTCGAAGGTTTTAATTAAATATAGTTTTATGGTTCTCCTGGTATATATAGCACTTTTATATTTCAAACTATAATGGCATACTTTCTTAACAAAAAATTATGACAATGAGCTGAAATAACATGACAGGATTTGTGTTACCTTGGTTATAATGGTTATTATATATGACTTAAAAATATCATAAGTAAATCATATTGGTGTGAATTTAAAGATGATGACACTGATAATCTATTACGACAAATTGTGAAATGAGTGTAGCATTGGTTGTAATTTGGAAGTACACTAATTTACACTTACTTGAGACAAACGAATATTAAAACTGTTAGAAGAAGTAATATTGTTGCTATGGCACTACCAACTCTGCTTATGGTGTACTTGTGATACACCGTTATTGGAATTCCGTAAACGTCCTGTTAAAAAAAAAATATTTGTTAGAAAATTAAGGCAAAGAATAATACAAGTGTATGTCAATTGGTGTGCAAATGATGAAAACTGTAAAGGTTTATGTAAGTTCATAATTAGGAATGTGTATCTGGGATATAAAGATGGCGAAAAACTGTACTTAAGAATGAAAATGTCATTAGCAATTTTACCATAGCAACTGCAAAACTTGAGTAGCTGTTGCAAGTACAATGGATGTATTGTCCTTCCTCGGATATCGTGCACCCTTCTTCGGTCCATCCACCTTTACCTTCATCTTTTGACCAATCCCACGTTTGGCAATCTTTGTTCAACGTTCTGTTTTTCACCTGCGGCAAGTAATTGTAAAAGTTGTTGAGAATATTATGTTTAGTTTATAAGTAAAATGGAATTTGAAGTGCAGTGCCAGAGTGCAATGTCAAATATCCTATAGAGCCTTATAATTCCATGCGTGGCGTTCTATGTTTTAACGATTGTTCTTTTACACGTGGCAAGTGATGGTGGTAAACTTAAAAAATGAGTTTCGAGGGAACGTTTTGTTCAGCATTTCGGAATTTTCTTGTTAATGTTGTTTTTACACACCATACACGTTAGCGCTCAAGAGAAAAAACGCATGATGTGGATGAGAATGGGTATATATAGGGAGATATTGTTCTTGCGTTTGTGAACGGTTCATTATATCAACAATGAATGTAACTGAAAAGCTATACATACCTTAATTGGTTGAAAGTATGCACTTATTTTTGGCACACCAGTATTATTACTTGTTGCCAGAGTTGTGATTATTGGCGTATTTATCTCCCGTATAAATTTTGAGCTTTTGGAAGACAGTCGAAGCTCATCGCTAGGCGATCGAAACAAAACATCATTTTGGTGGAGAAGAAACGTCTTTCGGGTGTTGCCTAAAGTTTGGAAAAACGATGATTTTAATCTCAAATGATATACTGTATCATGTAGCTACGAGACATGTTTTAAGTAAAAATCTACTAAACTAAGTTGCCATAACAGGTTAAATCCATTCATAAGTGGAAACCTTAACAATGAAGAGGGTTAAAAACAGTACCTTAAGGCGAAAGGACTGTCACTAAGGGGAAATTTCAACGACGTAATCATAGACAAAAGAGTTCCCC